GATCTTGTACTCAAATACTGTTTGTGGGTTTCCCCCAGGCAGTAGGTTGGCGACTGCAAGAACAGGATACTGAACTAGATGGGCCATTGGCCTGATCCAGCAGTCTCCTCTTAAGTTATTATTCCTTAAAAAAACCAACACCACTTATTAAATGCATAATGGATGACATACTGTTAGGAAATATAACCCACCTCCCCACCCCCACCCCAGAAATGAAATGCCATAGTGAGCAATAAGGAACATGTTTCCCCAGTTTACTTGGGAACTCTTACTTATGTACCATATACAGTGGTACCTTGGGTTAAGTACTTAATTCGTTCCGGAGGTCGGTTCTTAACCTGAAACTGTTCTTAACCTGAAGCACCACTTTAGCTAATGGGGCCTCCCGCTGCCGCCATGCCACCGGAGCACAATTTCTGTTCTCATCCTGAAGCAAAGTTCTTAACTATTTCTGGGTTAGCGGAATCTGTAATCTGAAGTGTATGTAACCCAAGGTACCACTGTATATGAAATGAAGAGAACTAGTGTTGTATGATGGCTAGAGTGCTGTCTTAGAGAAGGAATACTCAGGTTCAAATACCTGCTCAGCTATGAAGATCACTGGATAACCTTCAGTCAGTCACCATCTGACTGAAGAAGTCTGCTGTTCTAATCTAGACTTGAGTGGATAAAAGGGAAGAATGCGGTTAAGTTCCCCCGTTCAATCCCAGTGTCTCCAAGCAGGATTTCCTCTCTGAAAACCTGGAGAACTGTTCCTGGTCACTATAGACCAGGGGTGGGAAAACTGTGACCATCCGAGATGTTGCTGGACCTCAACTCCTTTTTAAATTTTCTGCTAGAATTGGATGTGATTTGCAGACATGGTCTCCCCCTCCAAGGGGATGAAGCTTTCTGAATTTCAGAATACTAGCTGCAGTGGTTCTCTGACTTTACCATTTTTGGGTGGGTAAAATATAAATCATGGGGTGGAGAGAGCATGGGTCTGCAGGAAGACTGGGGTGGAGAAAATGTAAAAAACAAAACACCCAGCAAGAACTCTTTTTGCCCAATGGTCGCTGGTATGAGGTGGACTTATGCCCTGAGGTATTTGGGGAGATATAATGAAGATTTCACAGGGGAAAGCATAGATTCACATGAAAAGCAAACACTGTTTTTAACCTCCACCAAATCCCTGTGACTAGAATGCCCTGGAAAAATAATTCACTGTGATTAAAAACTAGATCTGTCTGTCAAAATGAATTCTCTTCCCCACCTCTCTATCCCCTGCCTTATAAAGCTCTGGTCATTTCCCGAGTCAGCTTGGTTGTATTTTTCAAGAAAAAGAGGGAAGAAATGGTTGTGAAATAGTCGAGGCTACAGAGTGACTGCTCAGAGTCCCTGATCTGCCTTGAGATGCCTTGTTAATTGTGAAGTCTGACTTGGAAACATGAGAAACTTCCCTGCTTCCCCTTGATTTGCATAATTTGGGGTGCACATGTAAGTCGGTGCACATTCCTAGCTGCTACATCTTCTCTCCAACACTCTGGGCTCACCTCCTTCCAATCAGCATCTTGTGCAGAAACACACTGTGTGGTCTGGTCTGTGGGAGAATAATTGGGAAATGTTGCTTTGGATGGCAAAATAGTGTCAGTCAGGTTTTTCCTTCCCTTGGTGATCCAAAATATGCTATGTATTACAAAGTAATTTAGATAGAGTCATGTGTATTGTCTGAGGTTTTCTGCTGGTTTAGAGCTCTGAGATACATTCCCAGAAGATGGGAATTTAATGGGTGTCTAGACAAAGGGAGCCTCTATTGTACTCAGATTTAATTATTTATTTTACTTGTTGCATGAGCTGACAATGCCCACATCAAAATTATATTAAAAGGGTAGAAAGATTGTAAGTATTTCGACTAAAAAAAGGAGAAATTATATTAAAAGTCCCCTTCTGTAGCAGCTTTTGAATGGGAATAAAAAGATGCTCTAATTTTAACTGGCCAATAGAATCCCTTTCTTTTTGTAACACTGCACTTCCAATTCTGAGCTACAAAATACTAAGGAAATTAGAGTCTTAAAAGCAATCTGATAGTGAATAATATCCACCCTATAACAATTTTGCAAACATTGGCAGCTTCCAGTGTTTAACAGAAGCCACCTTAGAAGAAGTGAGATACTGTAAATGTGAAATGGTAATGCAACTTCAGACAGTACTTCACAATCAAACAACAATTAAAAATTGTTAAATTCCCCTGTTAAAGCAGGGAAGTAACTTTGATAACAAAGGCTTAAAACTAGACATGAATGGGGCAGCCATATGTATTAATGGGTGTGCCTGCACATTTTTGGGGGGAGTAAAAAAGTGCATGGGTGAGGGTAGCTAACTCCCCCCAACACACCCCAGACACTTATACTTCACTGGGTGGTATTCAGCCAACTGTTACTCAGAGCAGACCCACTGAAATCAATGTACTTGACTAAGTTGGGTCCATTAATTTCAGTAGGGCCACACTAAGTAAAACTTAGTTGACTACCACCCACTGTGTTCTATGATTTCAAACATTTGTATCCTCCAGTCCAGGCTTGCTTGTGGTATCACAACACTTCACACATTCCCATTCCCCTGTTTTATATGTGAAAGGGGCAGATACATACATAAATCCATGTATCTGCCCTGTTACATCTCGTTTCACTCTTACCTATCAAAGCATATCCTCCAGCATGTTTAGGCCAAAAACCGGGACTCACATCTTCCCAGCCATGTTCCCACATGAGTCACAGGACCCACATGAGATCACAGAACCCAGAAAAGTGCACTTTGGGACTCTGCAATCTTGTGCATTTGCGGGCCTCTGTGATCTTGCAAAAACAGACTGAGACAGTCGAGAGGTATGTCAAACTTATTTACCTAGTTTAAACATTTTAAATTATCCTTTGATGGTAGTGGCTTTCCAGGTTGAGTGTTATTGTTTTCAGATTCATCTTACTACTACTAAGATGGTGTCTGCTAAATTCTGGAAGCTACTATAGTTTGCAAAGCTGTTACAGGCTAAATATGGCCATGAAGCTGGGTGGTCTTAGGCCAGTTACTGCCTCTCAGCCTAACCATCCTCACAGAGTTGTTGTAGAGATTAAGTGTGGAGGAAGAGAACCATGTACACCACGTTAAGCTCCTTGGAGAAAAAAGTGGGATAGAATGCAATAAATATTATCCATCACTCATTGGTGCTAACTTGAACATTACTTAATGTAGATTCTCTCTCCCAAATTAAAACTTCTATTTTCTGCTGTAATTAGGATGCAGTCCCATACCCACTTACTATCCTAATACAAACAAGCTCCTAAAATTTGAGTTTCTTTGTACAGGTGTTCATTCCAACAGCATTGTTTACATAAAGTCACAAAGCCATCATCATTTACTCAAGGTATGTACAGATCTCAAACTGACAAAGCAAAGCAAACCATCAGGTAAAGGTAAAGGGACCCCTGACCATTAGGTCCAGTCGTGACTGACTCTGGGGTTGTGGCGCTCATCTCGCTTTATTGGCCGAGGGAGCTGGCGTACAGCTTCCAGGTCATGTGGCCAGCATGACTAAGCCGCTTCTGGCGAACCAGAGCAGCACACGGAAACGCCGTTTACCTTCCCGCCGGAGCGGTACCTATTTATCTACTTGCACTTTGACGTGCTTTCAAACTGCTAGGTTGGCAGGAGCATTACAAGGAGAAGGAGCTCCATATATACAAAACTCCAGCAAGTAGTAATGAAAAGAGAAGGGGGCGATAATAGTTTGCCTTAAATCCACACACTGCTTCTGTTAGGGCTAAAAGGCACTTCTCTACATGTGCTGTTGCTTTTTAATGCAAATTGCAACAGCAGGATGAGGGAGCTGAAAATTAAAAGTCCAGATAAGGCATGGCAGGTGAATTTAACCTCATCCTCTTGTGTTGTGATCCAGAGGGAAATCCCTCCAGTATTTGCTATGGGTGAAATCTCCCATTGACACGAAACACTAACTTCAAAAGACCCACACCAAGGGAGGAAAGCCTTAAATTTCTTCTCCACACCTGCTCTCAGCCCATTAATTATCAGCCTCCTTGCCCCCCACAAACTGATTCAGCTCACATTTTTAAAATTGTGCTCATCAGGCACATTTAGATAAACTTAAGGCCTTAGATAAAGTTAGGGCCTAACTATACATGATGTCACAATTTAAGGGAATAAACATCCCAAAGGGCATCAATGGGATATTCCACCACCACCACCCCCCTCAGTGTTAATTGCTATGCTGGGTTGTTAACTGAAAATATGGCCCATTAAGGGAAAGTGAGCCAGGTGCCTACAACAGCCACCATTGCCCCTCAATGATGCAAGTAACACAAATCATCTGGTTAATGACGTGTGTGTGTGATGCTGATGTGATTGAGAAACATGCCCACACATTTGTGGTACAAGAGGCAGTTCATTGAACTTGACCACGGGGGGGGGGGACTTTTTGTTCTCTCTCTTTTTAAATACAGCTTCTCTCAAAGCCTACTACCTGAAATCACACATTCCCTAAACACAACATTCCCTGAAGAAGGCTTTTCTGAAACATGACCCAGTCATGTTATACAATATTAACTGTACAATTGTAGAAATTGTTGTATTGTTTTTAGTTTATTAAGTCTGTTTCTTATGTATTTCATCTTATCGTACACCACTTGGGTTGCTTGTGGGTGTGAAGTGTTTTATAAATCTTCAAAATAAAATAGCCTTTATAGTTCACTTTATAGTGAGGCCTGTTGTATATTTCTTGTCTGAGAAATCTACAAAGTCCCAAAGTCCCCCCTTGATTCTCTTTGCTTCGTTCAGGTGTTGGATCTTCTACTTTTGTTTTCTAATTCTTTTGAATGATTCGTGTACAGTATCCCCACCCATATTGTGGTGCTTTCTTTTTCAAAAATATTAATCTGCTTAATTTATCTCAAATTTGATTACAGTGAGCACCCCTAATTAACCTGATTTTTTGGTGATAATCACTCACAATGGAATCAAATCAAAAATCCGGGGATGGATTGGCCGGCACACAGAAAGAAGCTACCCTCCGCACATTAATGCAGCGCACAGGATATAGTTTGATTCAGGTAGGAGTTTCCCTGTCAAATTATTTCTCCTTCGGGACTGCTAATTTAAAGGTAAATTAAGCACCCCAGCTAAAGTTCGATCAATGACTTTCAGAACTTAGTGCTTAAATAAGCTGTCTCTCCCTCTCCACCCACAATGTGTATTGCAAAAATATAAACATTATTCTGTTATAAGGTACAGTGCTGCATGCAATGGGACATTTGATTCCTACCTATGCTGCACCTGGTGGTATTCCAGATACAGAATGCAAAAAAAACCCCCATGTGATCTGGCTTATACAGCAGCCATGCAATCTCCTTCAGGAGGGTGTGGTCTTCCAGAGGGTTCACATTCCCACAACTGGAATGAAAAAGGAAGGAAGCAGCGTTCACATGGTGAGGGCAGCCTTTGCATGCACTGACAGCTTCACATGATAGCTCTACAGTCAAGTACTACAATGTAAGCAATTTAATTGGCAAAACAAAAGTCCACTGCAACCATACAAATCCGACTATCTGTATATTCTACCCTCTCAAGTCTGTCCTGGTCCCACAATCTCAAGTGGGCTATGGGACAGTGTTGCTTTTGGGGGGGGCACCAAATATATTGACTTGGCTGAAGGTTCTAAGATAGCCTTCATCAACTGGGTCCCCTCCAACTGTTTTGGACTAAAACTCCCAATTTTTCTAAGATACATCTAATGAAAGCCAAGATGCAAGAACAGACAAAAGTTATGACCAGGCAAAGAAAACCTTCTGGTGTGTATAAAAAGATATGCAGTGTTGAGAATTAAGCCAGTTTTTACAACATCTTTGTTCTCTTCAGGAAAATGGCCAAAGGAAATATGGAGGGCCGCCACCAGGCTGGGATGGACCACCACCAGAAAGAGGCTGTGAGATTTTCATTGGAAAATTACCCCGTGACCTCTTTGAAGACGAACTCATCCCGTTATGTGAAAAAGTAATGATTTAAACTGGGCAGATTTCATTCACTTACACACACACACACACACACACACACACACACATTCATATCCTAGGAATTTGACTGTGCAAACAGCAGAAATCCTGAACCTCTCAGCAGAATCAGGGTGGTAAAAGAGAAAAGACTCGTGCAGCTCTTCACACATAATAGGACAGGCATGTTTCCTACTCTGAGAATGTCTCCAGTAGGAAGAACACTGCCATATGGGAAACTGCTAGTGTGCCACAGTGGCTCAAGCATTAGCCTTCTGTGTCTAAAGCCCAGGGTCAAATCTCTGGTTGACTATAGCGATAACTAGGAGGCCTCACATAAGTCCTACCTTTCAACCTAATAGTTGTTGAGTGATTCTTATAAGGCCAAGATATTGCTTTGAGCTTCTTAGACTGCAGGTTTCCCACGGTCATCTAGTTGGAACAGAATGGGGAACTAGATGGGCCTTTGACCTCATCCACCAGGGCCTTTCTTATACTCTTATGATGCAATTCTGAACACAACACAGTTCTAATAATTTGCATATGACCCTGTATGGTTTTAAGTACTTACTGGAATCGCTAATTTGCAAATACAATTCTCAAGTCAGCTTCCAGCTTCCAGGGTGCAAGCCACAGAAAGCTAAGTATATAGTATCAGGAGGACTTTGTGTGTGCAATGCCTAAGAATGATTTCACAAGTGATACTAAGAATACTTTTTAGCCTTGTCTATGCCACTACTAAGTGTTGTTAGTGAGATATATAAAATGGAAAGAGAATTTTTTAACTGAATGTAATTATGGAACATATGGTGCTATTTTCATTTCCAGTTACGGGAATTTTGAAATGCTAATTCAGATCCAGATACCCCTTCACCAAAGTAGCTGGAACCAACCACAAATACTTACAATAGTTTCCACTGCTTTATATAAATGTTTTGAGCATATTTTATATGTCTGGTAACTTGCATCTGATGAGGTTGACACTTGCTTCCTCTCGTCTCCTGAGACATTAAATGTGTTATGTCTTTAAAGGTGCCACAGGATTCATTGCTGTTTTTTCTTGCAGCGGACAAACTTCTGTAACTTTTGGATTATGTATTCTCAAAGCCCATTTATAAAATACCTAAACAAGTCAATTGCTTTCTATGCTGAGATACCACGTTAACCAATCCACGTTCATTTGGAAACATCAATTCATATTAAGATTCACAATGTAAACCCATAGGTTAAAATGGGGAGCGTCAGAGCAGTTGGGATGATCTATTACATGCTCAAGGCTGCCAATCAAGCAACAGCCACCATATCACATCATCACTTATTCCACCTGTATCCCAGTATATTGGCTGAAATGTAAGTGCAGAATGAGGAGAATCAAGGAAAAGTTGGTATCTTGAACTAGGTTGTATTGTTTGTAATACTGATATTGACAAAACTAGTGACACCCATACAGTGCAATGGACGGAGTTTGGGCCAGGAAAGACCAGGATTTGAATTCCTGCTCGGCTGTGAAACTCAGTGAGTAATCAGGTGGCCAGGTGGCCTGCACTTTTGATATTCATATAGAAGATGGAATTTCAGCAAGTGAAATTTCCCTCTTCCACACAACTCTTTAAATGTGCAGCAGCACAGTCTTCTTTTACACCTGCCCCCCTTGCCAGATGTACTTCACAAGTTTTTGTGGTGATATCATGGGAATACACCATATACTCTCTTGAACTCCTTGGAAGAAGGACAAGAAGCAAACATGATAAAATAAACAGTACAAATCTTCCTCCAATAGGATTATCCCTGCATTTTGGGATCTATGTCCCATTTTTTATATTCAGCACCGTAATAATCACTTTCTTGCAGCTTAGTTCCGAGTGATAGAACCTCTGAATATGGCAGAGTGAGCTCTTTAGACATGAATTATTATAACTGTGTCCTGAGAGAACATTCTTATAGCCTTTATTCACATCATTGCTCCCATTAACATCAGTAAAACTATTTTTGACAGTACTGCCTAGAGAAACAAGCCTTGGCAACAGGGTCAAAGGCTTCTGCGATGAGACAAAGTATGGGGGGAAGATAATGGGTGGATGGGGTAAATATGACAAGTCCTCAACCACAGCCCATTTCCTACTTAGCCAAAGAAAGTATCGCCACTGCTCATGACAGTGCTGTTAAAGATGTGGAAAAAGAAAACTGCATTGCGTGAGTATCTAGCTAAATCTTCATGTGCAATGGAGCATTGTCTTTTCTGCTGTTATCGGAGCTTTGGTTTTTGCTATCTGTGGAACTGGAATTGTTCATCAAAATTTCGAAGTGTGGTTGCAATGCCCGTGAAGACTACTAAGGGCATCATTAGCACAGACACAGTCCTGCGTCATATGCCAGCATCTTCTTGTTTTGGTGCCTTGTAGTGATTCTTAGTGAGTGCACAAACCATGCTTCCCCTCTCATGAGACACACCACTAATATGCTGGGGCAATTGGCTAGTGGTACAGTATTTATACCCAGGCTTTTAATGAGGGCTGGAAGGGATCCAGTCATGATAACCCTTTGGGTGAAGGCAAGACCTGGCAAATCCAAACAGTAGCTAAGTACTATAGGATGTGTTATTGTCTAATGTGTGAAAGCTGCTCTAAGCCAGAGCACCCTGCAAGACATAGATACACACGTGTGTGTCCCCCATCCCAAGTTTATGGTGTTATCTGCACACAGGAGCTCAGACAGGGTGTTATCAAGTTGTGTTAATTGAGGTCATTTGCTTTGCTAACCTGCCCAACGGCACCAGCTCAGCACAGCTTGGACTTCGATACATGCTGCCTCTGTTTATTTTGACTTTGTACATGGGTCAGAAAGCAAATCTTGAGTAAAATGTGCTCTGGTTTATGGTCAAGGCAATGGCCAAGCTAATCTAGAGTGAAGCAGAAATACAAACAGAATCACAAGAACAAGAGAACTTTGTCCAGAGATGTTCTCTAGTGCAGACAAAAGTTCCCTTTCCGTGCTCGTTTATGGAAGTTCATGCTTTTGCTTTTGCAGATTGGAAAAATCTATGAAATGCGGATGATGATGGACTTCAATGGAAACAACAGGGGATATGCTTTTGTGACATTCTCTAACAAACAGGAGGCCAAAAATGCAATCAGGCAACTGAATAATTATGAAATTAGGTAAGCGTTGTTTGTTTAGTAGTTTTGCATATCTCGCTGACACCTGCAAAGAAGGTTTCAATTTGAATATAATGCATCAAATGCAATAAAAGTCGTGCTCTTTAAAACAAAAACAAAAAATGGGAAAACTAAAGAAATTGCCTTATATCAAGTTGGACTATTGGCCTGCTTAGCTTAGTATTGTCTACAGTGATTAACACCAGGAGTAGGTGCTCCTTGCCTAAAACCATGTGCAGCAGAACAAAGGGTCATGTTAGTAATCAGCAGCTGAAAAGCCTGTGGGCCATGTCTGTATGCCTAAGACTCCACAGCTGCCAACTAGAAGCAAGAAGGTCATGGAGGAAAAGTGGCCTTTGTGGCAAAAGAGGGTTCAAGAAGGCCAGTTTGGGTGCAAGAGGAGTTGATCCCCAACTCCACTGACAAAGTGATACTTTGAGAAGCATAGTTGGTGTCTAGAGATGACTACTATTACTACCACTACAACAAGAAATTATTACTATTTTTGGTCACAGAATAAATACACATCTGTTGATTATGTGTTAACTAGTGCTTGTTGCATGTGAAACCTTATCTTGTTAATAACATTATTTTTGGTGAGAACTACTTGCATGAGGAAATTCTCTAGCCCAGGGATAGCCAGTGTGATATTCACCTGATGCTTTACTGCTCTCATCAGTCCCAACCAGCATAGCCAATGGTAAGGGATGAGGGGACCTGTAGCAAAGCAAAATCTAGAGAGAACCACCCTGACTATCCCTGCGCTAGGCTACTCTTAACATTTCTCCTCTAAAAAAAGCACCTCTGAATTTTATTGCTAAGTAATGAAAACTGGGCCCTTTATATCAGGCATAGGCAAACTCAGCTCTCCAGATGTTTTGGGACTACAACTCCCATCACCCCTGACCACTGGTCCTGTTAGCTAGGGGTGATGAGAGTTGTAGTTCCAAAGCATCTGGAGGGCCGAGTTTGCCTATGCCTGCTTTATATTTTTAAGGGCTGGTTCACTTGACTTCTGCTTGACTAACTACACTGTTCAGAAAGTTTGACATGAGAACATTGGCTCTAAACTGTAATCATGGGTCAAGATTTCACAAAGAGCTAAGCCTGTTTCACCATAAAAACAAACAAACCTGGAACTGTTGTTTGTATGCAGGAATGGTCGACTCCTAGGGGTTTGTGCCAGTGTAGACAACTGCCGTTTATTTGTAGGAGGAATCCCGAAAACGAAGAGGAGGGAAGAAATTTTGGCAGAGATGAGGAAAGTTACAGAAGGTGTCATTGATGTCATTGTATATCCCAGCGCTGCCGATAAAGCCAAGAATCGTGGTTTCGCTTTTGTGGAATATGGAAGCCATCGGGCAGCAGCTATGGCAAGGCGGAAACTGCTGCCAGGTAATCTGGAAAGAAAGGGGATTTTAGCATGTCTTACACTCTTCCCTTTTCTCCATTCCTTATGCCTATTGGCTTTTAGCTATCATTTTTGCCTCTTTTATATATAATTTGAACATGAATAGTTCCCCTAGGATTCAGTACATTATATGCTAGCATTTTAGGGTAAGCGCTAGCACAGTTCTGATTATTTCACAAAGTGAAGCTTCACTCACAGTGCACGCCTGAGCAATGAAGAAATCAAATAGTAACTATGAGAGCCTGTGTGTTCTCATCTATGTGCAATCAATAGCACATTTTACAATTATGTAAATTCATTTTAGCAATAAATTTAAGTAGAGAAAACCTGTATTGTCAAAATCACCTACTTAATGGGTTGTATCTAAGTTACACTCAGAGTAGACACATTGAAACCAATGTACTTGATTTCAATGAACTGTTCTTGAGTAGGACTTAATTGGACTTCTTTGTCCCATTATCTTTCATTTGATTTATTGTCATAGTTGTGGAATTCTGATTACTCCTCAGGAAGGATACAATTATGGGGACATCCCATAGCTGTAGACTGGGCAGAGCCAGAGGTTGAGGTTGATGAAGATACAATGTCATCAGTCAAAATCCTCTATGTGCGAAATCTTATGTTATCAACCACGGAAGAGACAATTGAAAAAGAATTCAACAATATTAAACCAGGTAAATAAAATTTAAAAGGCAGCTTGGTCAGAGTTGCTCAGAGTTTGTTGGTAAACTACTGTAAGAATAATAAACTGTTTTTAAAAAGTTCTAAAAGGAAATATTTTTTATGTGGGAATATCAGGAAAGAAACAAAGCATTTTCCATGAAAAATCTAGGATTGAAAAAAGAATACCACAATTTACACGCTACTATGAGAATATCAGGACACGGGTGGCGCTGTGGGTTAAACCACAGAGCTTAGGACTTGCCGATCAGAAGGTCGACGGTTCGAATCCCCGTGACGGGGTGAGCTCCCGTTGCTCGGTCCCTGCTCCTGCCAACCTAGCAGTTCAAAAGCACATCAAAGTGCAAGTAGATAAATAGGTACCGCCCCGGCGGGAAGGTAAACGGCGTTTCTGTACATTGCTCTGGTTTGCCAGAAGCAGCTTGGTCATGTTGGCCACATGACCCGGAAGCTGTCTGCGGACAAACGCCGGCTCCCTTGGCCAATAAAGCGAGATGAGCGCCGCAACCCCAGAGTCGGTCACGACTGGAACTAATGGTCAGGGGTCCCTTTACCTTTACCTATGAGAATATATCTTCTCCACTTTCCTCTTGTGGATCCAGAGCTAAACACTAGAATACATATGCTATATAATATACTAATATAATTTAGGAAATATATATATATAGGAAATGTTTTATTTTAATATATATTTAGGAAATATAATAAAAGAAAAGAAATTTATTTCATTCAGGATGATGCATTAACTAGAAAACCCCCAAAATGGATATTTTTAATTGGAGAAATTGGCAATCCTCTGCAAATTTGAAAAGAAAACAGATATGCTTTCTCCTACTCGTATGAAGTTTGACTACTGACTGCTTTAAATCGTATGAAATCTAAGATGTTACTAAGTGCTCAGGTTTCAAAACAAGCATGGAATGTTCTGAAGAGCAATATTTCACTTTTATAAAATTCAGCATTGCATTCCCTTTCAAGAACTCAGCAAGCTCATTCTTCAAGATTTTCCCCCCAAAGATTTCCTGCCCACCCTTCCAGCACATAGAAGATGGCATGAGCAAGGCAATGTCATTCATTGCAATGTCAGGGGCCAGTGGTGTAGTAGTCGGAGAGCAAGACTAAAATTAGAGGGGACTCAATTCAAATCCCTACCCAACCATGAAGCTCACCTTGCACTAGTCACCATCTCTCAGTCAAACCTGAGGATAAAACTGGAGGGGATAAAACACACACCATGCATGCCACTTTGAAATCCTTAGGAGAAATATTTGATGAAATGATATAATGATCGAATTGTCAGACCAGGACTTGGGACTGGCATACCGCATAACCAGCATGCAGATTATTTTTGTGTTCTGACCTGTGCAAGTAACCAAGTTATGGCATTGTTGGTGGCTCCTCCACTCTGTTAAACTGGACTGCCGGCTACCAGAAGTTAGGATTGTTCCATAAACCAACTAACACTCAGATTTGTTTAATTGCATATGCTTGGATGAAAGCTCACCCCTCCCCCTCTTTTTTTTTTTTTTTTGGTTCTGCAAACCCAGGACCTCAATTAACATTTTTAACAGACTGTACTCTCTGAAATAATTTAATAAAATATTGCATAATCGGCTATCAAAACAGAAATTAACAGGCGTAAAACTTCCATTCCATTGCACAGAACTCTGAACACAAATTCTCCAGTGGCTCGTTATAGGCCCAAAGCTATGATACAAAAACTGAGTGATAAGAGAAGCAATTATACTCAGCTTCAGAAGTCTACATACTTAGCTACAGATATAGCTTCTGTGAGAGGATATTTTTTAAGCTTTATTTTTCCTGAAGTTATATGTGTGTTTATTCAATATTACAGTTCTGTTCCTTTGGATTTTTACTCTTCCTCTATCCCTGAGGGGTTCACAACAAATTTAGTAGACATAAAATACTCAAGTGTTCAGAAATCAAAACCACAGCCCAAACATGTCCACCCATGGCACCTCATTCTACCATTTTCCCAGTGCAGTGTGTTCATCTATTGTTGTGCATTCAACTTTAAGTAACTGAGATTAGACACAGGAACTTTGCTGGTAGTCGCTTCTGCTTCTTATCTATCAGCAAAGTGATGATTCGGGCAAGAGTTATTGGGCAATCCCCACTCATCCAGAAAATTGGGTTTCAAATCTTGAGGAAAAAATCTGGAACATTAGGTAGTGAGGATTAAGTAAGGACTGCAAACCTTCCCATCACTACCCACCCACATCCCCCTCTCTAACTATGGACTTCTTCACCATAAAAATGTTTTAACAATTTGAGATAGTGTAGAAATATTTTGCTTTTAAGTTAAACCCTGACCTTCCTTAAATTAATTACATCAGGCTGACATCCACACACAAAATCAGACCATGTCTCAGAACTACTTTTCACATGAACTTGGGGAGGGGGTGTCTTTATGTTAACATGATGCTTCCTACTAGGTGGATAAGCCAATGTGCCAAGAGGTTCATCATACCCATGTTAGGAGCACCTTTCTGCAGACCGAAGGACAAAAATAAGCAAGACTGGGCACATAAGTAAGTTTCTATAAGTGGCCCATGGCTTGCAATGCCCAGTTCTAATATTTATTTACTGTAGAATATTTTTTTTTTAAAAAAAAATTAATCATATTAGCATGGCAGATTAATGACCAAGGACACAACTCAAGCAGACACTTTCCACTGTAGCAATATCCAAGACAGACCTAACCTCCAAATCTTTTCTACAGGGTCAGTGGAACGGGTAAAGAAAATCAGAGACTATGCATTTGTGCACTTTAATAACAGAGAAGATGCTGTTGAAGCCATGAAAGTGTTAAATGGGAAGGTAATGCTGGATTAATTTAGTATTGGCTAGAAGGGATGTAGAGAGAGCTGCATGTATATGGCAAAATAAGAGTTTACAATGTGTGTGTGTGTGTGTGTGTGTGTGTGTGTGTGTGTGTACAAACCATAGCGCTAGCAATGAAAGACTTGCCAGAGTTGTGCATGTTTGACCTGGATGGCTTTGGTTTACACTAAAGTTATTTACTGGTCTTTCAAATCTGTGATACTTGTTCCATTGTGATGGTTTGGATCTTGACACCATTGCAGTAAGACTAAAATCATGCTTCCTATTTATGGTTCTAGAATTGTTCCAAGTACCAGTGCAAACTGTTATGCAATTTCCCCTCCCTCTGGAAAGAACACAAGGTCAACCATCAGATTACAATTCATATACCACTTGACTGCCACTTGCCCACTGAGCAATCGTGTGGGCATATCCAAAGCACCAGGAATGCATGGTGCTGGCATGGAGACTGCCCATGCACTCATGTGATGGCAGGCTTTCAAACATCATAATCCTCCTACATGGACCCACTGTTATATGGAGACATCTTCAATAACCTTCCACATGAGGGCTTTTAGATGGGAAACAGCAGGGCCTGTAGGGGTGACCTCATATGAGAGGAAGCTCCATACAGAAGGAAGCATCCCTTCAGATACTGTGATCCCAGATCATATCTGAGATGTGAGAGGTTTAATATCTGCCACAGTATTAGAGAGTGTATTCATGCATTGATATGCCTCATTTTTCTGTCATGTCTTTTTTTTGTTTAAAGGTGGTGGATGGCTCTCCCATTGAAGTCACATTAGCCAAGCCAGTAGACAAAGACAGCTATGTTAGATACACCAGAGGCACAGGAGGGCGAGGAACAGTGTTGCCAGAATATACTTATACATTTGGGCACGTATATGATCCTACTGCAGCCTACCTGGGAGCCCCAGTATTCTATGCACCTCAAGCCTATGCTGCTATTCCCAACCTTCATTTTCCCACTGCGAAAGGACATCTCACCAACAGGGGCTTTATCAGGCCACCATCCATCAGAGGTAATGCTTGCTCACTGGAAGTATATAATGTTACCAGTACAGCCAAAGTTCAGAGGAATCTTGTTTACATCCTTTGTAGCTTGGCAAGTAGTTACATCATTGCAGTAAAAAAAACCACACAAAACACCTGGGCACTTTCTCTCAGATGGTAAGGCAACTAAATAGTAGCTTCCATAGGCAACCTGAGCGCACAGGTAGGTTGGGATCAGGCATTCCTTCAGGTAAGCACCAGATATTTGAACGGCGCTTGGAAATAGAGCAAAAGTCAACATTCTGTTGCATACCTTCAGTTTGCCTTTAAAGGAGGAATGTGGCCCTCCAGCCAGCATAATCAATGATCAGGAATGGTGGGAGTTGTAGCCTGTCAGTACCTAGAGGGCGACAAAGCCCTAAAGCTTACTACAATGGTTTCCCTTAATACAGTTGTCTGTGCTACCACATATTTTATTATTATAGTTCTCTATCCTGCCGTTCCTCCAGCAATCTGTGGCATGATTACCTATGCTCACTTGATCCAACTATTTTTACCTACACTTTCCCACAATTCAGCTGCACATTGGGTGGTTAGCAGTGTAGACCTGTGTTGTGAAACAAGTTGGTTGTACACAAAATGTGCAGATCAGTTCTTGATTATGGGGAAGGTAGCTGAGGCAATAACAGTTTTGGATCAGTGTAATGTCAAGAGCAGTGTTGCCACTAGGTTAAATCATGCCACATTCTTCCTCTTATAGAGGTATGACCTGTATTGGGATAATTCACCTTAACTCAGGAATGAGGAACCTCCAGGTGTTGCTTTACTCACGCTCCCATCAGCTCCAGCCAACATGGCCAATGGCCAAGGATGATGGGAGTTGTAGTCCAACAGCATATGGAAAGCCACAAATTCTCCATCCTTGCCCTAACAGTCTCTCTCTCCCCCCACCCTCTTATTTTGCATTCACATCTAACCTAAGTACCACTTCTCCCATTTATGAGTCTCCACATTAAAATTAGGCTTTAAGCAAATGAAAATAAAATTGCACAAAGAATCTTAAACAATGCAGTATATGTCCTCTATAACTCAATGAGGCTTACCTCTGAGTAGGCACATATAGGACTGCACTGTGAGGGATGAATTACTAAATTACATACATGTGAGTGTGTACCATCCCATAATCTCAGTTGGAATCTGTGTTAGGAATGGGATGATGGCATATAAAAAGAAGTTCCTAGTTTGATGAAAATGGGGTAAAATGTAAACACCGAAACTGATGAATTTAAATTTATTCCTTTGTATGTTGATCAGTCTAATTTGTAGCTATTGCTCTTCATCCATAAAATGGGGATAGATTTGAAAATGGGTATAAAAAAATCAAAATAATCTGTGCATGAGCTCAATGGAAAGGTAAGCTTCATATTAAGCCAGACAGAAGAAAGGAGATGAGGAGAGCAATTTATAATTAATATGTTTTTACCCAAACCACCATATATTCCGGCAAATCACAAAATGAAGACCTGGCTTGTATTATTAACAGTATGCCTGGAATTCAGTGCAAAATGATACTGCTGGAAGGATGCACTTGTGGCGTATACACTGCAGCAGGCTGCAGTTCCCCAGTTCACATTGTTTTCTTGACTGAGGCCTTTTTTTAAAAAAATGAACCTGAGGTGCCTGAAGCTTTGTTAGCTAAAATTACAGATACTAAAAATAACAAACTCCTCCACAAGGTACAGTCCCATCGGTGGTTGTGCATATCCATGAACATTATTGCCCTTCACTTCAAAGGCAATAAAGGGATTCTGTGCTTTGCACATGGCTACTTTTCATTGAACTATGTTCTGTAAACATGGAAAGAGCACAATAAACGTTAGTATCAGAGGCATAGGGCTGTATTCAACTAAGTTCTACTGAGAGGAGTCACACCGGAATTAATGACCTAAGTCAGTCATGTTTCTTAACTTCAATGGGTCTCATCTGAGTTGGACTAGCATTGAATGCAACCCATAAAAGCTTTAAGCTTTACTCCACACTGGTGGGGCAAAATATAATGAAGTGATTGAAAAATTGTCTACCCAGCACTGTCAAAATCTGCTGCCTGAGCTCAGCCACATCTCCTTATCTAAGTGTAGGGCTGGCCTTGCCCAACAGTTGAGCTGGTCATGGTGCCCAATAGAATTTTGTATCACCATCACCAGTCTCTGTAATCATGTGTCAGTGTGTGGGATCAAAGTCTTCCAATGAATTAAGAATCGGAGATTTTCCGGTAATTTGATTCAGTTTAATACCTTCTTACATTCCTAGAAATTTACATGAATGTACCTGTAGGGGCTGCCGGAGTTAGAGGACTAGGAGGACGTGGCTACTTGGCTAACCCTGCCCTGGGTCGTGCATACCAGCTCAAGGGAGAGAAAAAAGGGGAGGACAAGCTCTACGACCTTTTGCCAGGAATGGATCTTACGCCAATGAATCATGGCAGTTTAAAACCGCAAGGAATCAAACTTGCTCCACAGGTGGGTAAGACATATTTAGAATAAATGATGCTCCAGCTTTTGGCCAATGCATGTGTCTTTCTGTTAGCTCTAGATACGTAAAGCAGATGTAAAGAAAAAATAATTCCTGGGGTTCATCTTTGTCTTCCCAGTGGCTATGGGGTTTTTCCAGCTACAGTTTCTGCTTCTGCTTCAGCTTCTGCTTCTCTCTCTCTCTCTCTCTCTCTCTCTCTCTCTCTCTCTCTACCAATTTTATCAAGCCAAATTTGAATCTGAAATAGCTGTCTTAAGGCTGATAGATCCAATTGTTTTTTTAAGTAGAAAATGTCCATAAGAAAAAACTTTCCTCCATTTTCCTCATCTATTTGTGGACAAACTGTGGGGATGTTACCGGCTACTAGGACTGTAACTCAGTGGGAGAGCACCTGCTTTGCATGCAGAAGTTCCCAGTTTCAATTCCTGGCATCCCCAGGCAGGAGCTTCTGCCAATCACTATAGACAATGCCGAGATGGACCAATGGCCTGCTTCAGTATAAGGCAGGTTCCTGTGTCCTAGAAGCTAGAGATAATCCAGCAGAGCAGGAGATGGCCAGTTCATCCCTTACAGAAGGCTTACTACTCAGCAAGATCAGGTTAGGGTAATATATGTAAATATTATTTGTGGGACTGATCCAGAAGGAAAATGTCTTCCAGCCAAACAATCTGCAAATTACAAATCAGGATAGCTCTGATGAGGTCAGATTAAACATTGTTTGCACCATTGCACTGTGGCCTTTCTGATTAGGTCTTGTAGACTGATTTGGGTCTATAGCCTGGATAGGACCTAGAAACTACTCAGAGAAAGATGCAATGTGTTTAATTTAGTTGTAGTCAGAATCAGTGTGTCTCAAATTACAAACTGTGTTTATTCAGTTTATTTTAAATTGCTTGGATTGAATAAATTGTTTTGCTTGCAAAACAGTGCTCTTATCCTTTTTCTTGCACTCCTTCAAAAAAGTTGGTCCTAAGGGTTGGGGGTCATTAGAGAATAGCATGGGGTCTGCAGATGGAGGAAGGCAGCAGTGGATATCCCCCTCATATGAGCTGAAGTCACTTCCCATGCCCTTTGGATCCAACCCGTAATTTATATCCTGCCTTTCCACCTCAAGGTCTAGACTTCAAGGCATCTTGCAATCCATCATTTTAAAAGAATCAATATGACCAGCCTAAAAAGTAATAAAAGTTATCAGCCTAAACAAAAGACAAAACAATTAACCAAGTCAATTAGCAGCAGACATAAAGATGACATAAGATCATAATGTCATGAACTAAAAATCTGGAGAAAAAATAGTTTTCACTTGGGTGCCTAAAGAATAAAAGTGGGCTCCAAGCAAATATTTCCAGGAAGGATGTTCTATAGTGAAGTTTCCATCCCAGAAAATGTCCTGTCTCCCATTGCTATGCATCTAAATACAATAGTATGTTTGCTGATCTCAAGAAACAGTGGCCCTGTATCAAGGGAGGGCACAAATAACCGGGCAAATAGAATGTATTCAAAAAATTTAAAGGATGTGATATAGTTTCCAGACTGCAGTAATGTATTCTGTTATTCAATGGCTGCATTTTTCATTCTAGATATTAGAAGAGATCTGCCAGAAGAATAACTGGGGACAGCCAGTCTACCAACTTCATTCTGCCATTGGGCAAGACCAAAGACAGCTGTTCTTGTACAAAATCACCATTCCTGCCCTTGCCAGTCAAAATCCAACTATGTATGTAACTACTGCACTTGCTGGGTTTAACCCTCGCGTTTGAGTGGGGGGGAGGGCTGTAAAGTTTTATAAAATAAAGGCATTTGATATCACCACTAATCCCTCAGTCATACAATGCATTGTTTAGAATATATGCAACTTGTGAAGAAGGGAAAACATTAACAATATAGATAATTTAAAATATATTTTTAAAATACTTAGAGCTAGTTTCAACCAATCAGTCCTACTATCAGAAGCCAGTGTTAGGTCTTCCTCCAGCACAACAAGGCTTTTTGCCCCTTCTCCTCCCCTTGCACATCCCACCCACTCCGAAATTAGCTCAGGGGGCTCTGTGGAAACCCCAAAACAGCATGTGGGAGCTGAAGAAGGGAGATTGTTCCATGTGTCAAGCTGAAATGCTTGTGCTAACAGAACAATCTCTTTAGTGCTCTGTTGAATTCCACCCACATAAATTGTGGTTTGCCATCAGGTGCAAATTGTACATACCCTGAACCATTATCCTCTCAATTTTTTAAACAAACAGATTTTCAGAGTTTGGGGCATTGTTTAATTAGTGGTTTCGGTGATTCAGTCAAACAACAACACTTTAACATCTTGCATCAAAGGATACGATGGATGTTTGCCAAGATGCCAACCATAGGAAAATGAAATTAATGTTTACCACTGATTTGCAGGCATCCCTTCACGCCATCCAAGCTAAGTGCCTATGTAGATGAAGCCAAAACATATGCAGCAGAATATACTCTTCAGACCTTGGGCATTTCCATTGAAGCAACAGAGGCCCCTGCGGCTACAGCAACTTTCCCAGGTATGTTAAGGTTGTGCAAACATTTTCTTCTCTGGGCTATTTAACTGCACCTCATAGGTAGCTCAGCCACAGTTGGTGGTAGAGAATCTGCAGAAGATCCAGGATTCAATTTCTGGCATCTCCAGGTAGGGTTGGGAAAGATTCCCTGTCTGCCTGAAACCCAGGAGACAATGACCAAGGGGACGTGGGTTAAAATCCCAACACAGCTGTGAGGGTCTCATTGGATGACCTTGGCCCAGCCACACACAGACTCAGCCTAATGTATCTCACAGGGTTGCCGAGATGATCACAAGTATGCCACCTTCAGCTCCTTAGAGAAAAGCTGGGGTATAAATGTAACGAACAAACAAAAACTCAACAGAGTGACGTTCCCGGCTATTAGCCACTTCATTTTTAAAAGGCAATTCTAAGCAGTGTACCTATACTAATATTAAATAATTATCAATAATGCACAGTAAAAACTTGTGCCACACCACATGTTAGGCTCCCCACACGGTTTGAAAATTGATCTCTCAAATATGAGCATGCAAAATTCATGAGCATCTTTTCACTAGTGTGTGTGTGTGTGTGTGCGTGCGTGCGTGTTGTGCAACTTCTCTATCTCTTGCTCTGTTTCCCCTCTCCCTCTCTGGCTCTCCCCCTTGCCAGGGGGCTGGTCATTTCACTCGGCTCTCCTTCCCAGTCCTCACCTTTCTCTTTGGATCCCAGATGCATTCTAGGGAAATGAAGTTGGTGGGTGGCCAGCTGTTTACTTTCATAGAGGCATAGAATTCTAGAGTTGGAAGAGATCCCTGGGGGCCACCCCTGCAATGCACACTTTACTTTGCAATGCACACCTTACTACACACCCAGCAACCAGGTAAATAAACACAGTGGTACCTTGGTTCTCAGACAGCTTAGTTGTCGAACAAATTGGAACCCGAACACTGCAAACCTGGAAGTAAGTGTTCTGGTATGTGAACGTTTTTCGGAAGCTGAACATCCGACGCAGCTTCCTCTTGAGTGCAGGAAACCCTTGCAGCCAATCAGAAGCCACGCCTTGGTTTTTGAACAGTTTCAGGAGTCGAACAGACTTCCGAAGTGGATTAAGTTTGAGAACCAAGGTCCCACTGTATTTTAAAAGAAGTCTCAGCCGGGGTCTCACAGGCACCAAGGAGGTCTCTTGTACTCATTGCAGCACTCATGGGTGCCAAATGGGAGAAAGGAAGACTGTTTCATAGCACACTGATCATATTATGAATTAGCTAGTTAGAACGATATGATTATTTTAATTAACATATTTTTAGAATATCTTTCGTATACAGAAAGCTTGGTTAGGTAAATTAGTGCATATAAGGAGCCGAGACATAAATTGAAATAACATTATAAGTAAAGCTTTCTGCACTGTATTTATAATTCTTTCTTTCACATTACTGGAAATATGTGCCCATTAATATTAATATGTGTTGATTAATATGGAATCTTTCAAGAACATCAAGGCTTTTTTAAAAAAAGAAAAAAAAGTTTAAAATCTATCCAGTTTCCTGCCACAGAGAAAAATCAATTTGTCTAGGCTTGTTCAAGCTTCCGCATTATGTAAGATACACTGATGCTTTATTGAACCCAGTGCCATTTACGGCTTAATTACAATGACTTCTCTCTTTCCTTTACTTTCTGTTACACATGACTTGGAAGACTGAGAGGTGCCTTTTCTCCATTCCAGTTCAGATGTCTTTGGTAGTCTGGGAACAATCTCTCAGGTTAGCCAAAGCTAACGGAAAATGCATCATTCTAAAGAATATTTTCTTCTACTTCTTGGTGGAAGAATGGAGTTGTCTAGATATTCATTGTCAAAACAGGGCTAAGTGTCATTTATAGAGGCTACATAAGGGAAGGTTGTTATTCTTTACTGTAGTGTTGGATGAATGTTTGGCCTCCTTACAGTCTATTTACCATTTTTATGTGTATAAAAAAAAGTGTACAAATAGAAAGCAAGATAAAACAAATCAAGGCTGTAATTCTACTGTTTTGAGTAGAGTAAAGGGTTACACTGTAAGTGTCAATAATTAAGGCAGGCGCTATCAGTGAAAGCAATATATGGCAACAGTAAAACAAAACTAAATAGCACCAATAGCTCTGGGATGGCCCAGTTGGTAGAGTATGAGACTCTTGATCTCAGATTTGTGGGTAACAGCGCCATGTTGGGCAAAAGATTCCTGCATTGCAGGGGGTTAGACTAGATGACCCTCGTAGCTTTGTTTTGGCTTGTGTGATTTTTGTGTATATAATTTAAGGGTTTTGTGTAATTTAGGGTTGCCATAAGCCTGGAATTTCCCGGACATAGCCAGGATTTGGCCATTGGAAACAGCGTCCAGGTGGAAATCGCATATGCTTTTCTACTGTCCATTGTACAACCAGCTATGCAAACCCATGCTACCCCCTTTTTTGGGTAGTCTAACATCACAGCACAATGAAAATATCAGATTCTATCTGTCTGACATTAACCCGGAAGTAACTGCAAGGGTGGCTGAGGTGTTTGCCAATAGTATCTCTTAGAATAGGGGATGCGGGTGGTGCTGGGGGTTAAACCACAGAGCCTAGGACTTGCCGATCAGAAGGTTGGTGGTTCGAATCCCCATGACGGGGTGAGCTCCCATTGTTTGGTCCCTGCTCCTGCCAACCTAGCAGTCCAAAAGCACATCAAAGTGTAAGTAGATAAATAGTTACCGCTCCGGCGGGAAGGTAAACGGCGTTTCTGTGCGCTGCTCTGGTTCTCCAGAAGTGGCTTAGTCATGCTGGCCACATGACCCGGAAGCTGTACGCCGGCTCCCTCGGCCAATAAAGCGAGATAAGCGCCACAACCCCAGAGTCGGCCACGACTGGACCTAATGGTCAGGGGTCCCTTTACCTTATCTCTTAGAATGGTGAATGGCACTATTTAGCGGGAAGAAATCCCAATGAAAATCCTCATTATTATATATTTTACATGGCTGTTTAAAGCTCAACAACTGTGCCAAAAAAAAGGCTCAACAACTTTTGTGTCTGGATTTTCACTTTTTGAAATACGGCAACCCTATTATATTCATTTTGTGGCCAAATCAGCAATTTCAGTTAAATCAAAGTCCTTGAACAACAATGTTGAAGTTGTTCCCAAATAAAGAAGTGAATAAAGGATTATAGTCAGTCCCTGCAGCTATAGCAAAATAGCCTTGTGTTTTTTGTTTTGTTTTTAATGTCCCTGCAGGATACATTGCTAATGCAACTGCCACAGTGACAGCTACTCAACTCAAGCAAGCAGTGACTCTGGGACAAGATTTGGCAACCTACGCAACCTACGAAGCTTATCCAGCATTTGCAGTAGCTACTCGGAGTGATGGATATGGAGCATTCTAAAAAAACAACCCAAATGGCCTGTGTAATTTAAAGCAATGTCTTACATTTAATCAAGCTATGGCAGGGGGCAGGAGCTACTTCAAGCTAATGATTAGTCAGGTTCAATATGATTCTGAATTAGGATAGGGCAAATTCTGATGTAGCAAGGCTTCACTGCTTTTAGAATAGCAGTTTAATAATGGTAGACACTGATTTTTATTTTTAAATCCACTTTTTTTTTACAAGCAGGGGGGGTAAGCCTAACCTAAGAAGGAAAAGAAAACTTAAAGAGTGTGTTGTTTCACTTGTGTTTACAAATGATGGTCCTTAATTGCAATTTTCAATAGTATTTTTGTAATAACGTAAAGCAGTGGTTTTCAACCAGTATGCCGCGGCACCCTTGGGTGCCTTGAATGATGGTCAGGGGGCCGTGGGCAACGGCCTCTGTCCCTCTTTCCTTCCCTTCCTTCCTCTAATGTCCTCTCACATCTCTGCCTCCCCAAGGCTTGCACAGCTGTTTGTTGCAGCAGCCCTGGCTACAAGCTTCCCAGGCGAATGGGGCTGGCCAGGGGGTGCTTCCCAGGTCCCTGTGGGGCAGTGTGAGGAGGCACCTCTTTTTGGGGTGGCGGCAGCAGCTGCCTGGAGGACTCCCAAGGAGAGGGGAGAGGAGGCTAAGGGAACATTCCACAAGGGAGGGTGTTCAAAAAAGGGTGAGAGGCTGCCAGCTCTGCAGGCAAGGGGTGACATAACTGGGTTCCTGAGCCCCACAGGGATGCTGTAGAATGAATGTAGTTGGTCAAGGAAGCCGTGGACTCGAAAAGGTTGAAAACCTCTGATGTAGAGTTTTTTAAATCGTGGGGCTTTTATATTTCTCAGATATTCTTGTTGTAAAGCATTTCATGTAGGTATGAATCTTGCATATGATGGTGTGCTAGCTATAATCTTAGGGCCAAACTAGATGCTCCATTAGATGCTTGTCTGCATTTAAAGGTGTTTTTAAATGCAAGTAGCAGACACTGCAGGGGAGGGGACCCTGAATATTGCTGAGGTCACTGCAGACAGGATGGGGAAATTTAACCCTTTCCTCTCCTACAGCTGCCCTACTCATCCAAGGCTCTCACTGGTACCACTGGCTTCTGTCCTGCATGCTGGAAAGTATATTGGAGCTTAGAAGTATGGGAGCAATGTCTCAAAGATAAAGAAATGGGTCCCAATGTTCATTTTCAATCTTTTAAAAACATTATATGGCTGAATAATTATTCTGGAATTTTTAGCTTCAAATATTAAAGAAAGGTCCTATTCAACTTTACTCAGAAGCAAGAGCCACTTTCTTCAATGAGTACTTACTTCCAAGTAACCATGCATAGGATTTCAGCATAGCTATCTCAAGTGATTTTTAATTTACTTGTGCAATCCAATCCCCACATTTGTAAACCAAAGGAACACCCTAGATAAACTAGAATATACATCCGAAAGAAAGAAGGGGAGGATCATTTTGTTTCTTCTATGAGCATCATTTAGAAATGATGCTTTCCTGACTTAAGATGTTATTTTAGCATCTTCACAAATGTGATTATAAATTGGCTGATTTGCACATGGGTTTGGGGGAGGATAATATGTTGTGCGCCCACCCACTCGCCCCCAAAAAGCCATGTTGCAGTACTGCACCTCAAAGGAAATAAAAGCAGGTTGGGAGATAGTGATAGTGGATTCGGCTATTGTATTGCAGCACAACTGTATTGAATACCTGACTCACTCATCACATATCCCATTAGTGCTGCTTGAGACGTCCAGTGTAGCTCAAACATGGCCATCTCTCTCATCCTTGCTTGTTCTTTAAATCAGTTCTTAAAAGGTCTCATATTACAGAAAGTTCAATGATGTTGCTTTGAATCATTAAGAGAACAAAAATAAGACTTTGGAGGTGGCAGAGTAAAACCCGAGTTATATCAAAAGGATTTTCTAAATAAAGCACGAACAATTCTGTTCATTGCTTTGCTGGGATGGATTCAGTGTCCCTTTAACTGAATATTCACTACATTTTTGGACACCATCTGCATTCAGCCCCTGCAAATGAATGCTTTAAGAGAACCTGTAATCTTTTTTTGTTTTGTATTACCAAGGGTGTGGAACAGCAATGGGTGTGGATAGCGCCTGTCTGAGCTGATTCGGGAGAGTTTCAAGCTTGTGGTTCTTAGAGGGCCTCTAATATCAAAGTTGCCAACTACTGCGATGGCTTACAGTGTCATGGAGATTGCCAACTATTTGGTGAGAAGTTGCAATAAAGAAGGGACCTCTAGCAGAAGCCCACAAACATAGTTGTCTCATGTGTCCAGTTGTACAGTGGCAGTGACCATAAATTTAATCCTGGTGACCAACAGGGAAAGCCTCTAAAAAGCCTCCAGTGACAACACAGGAATGCAAAATGCCTCTTTTATAATTTTGTCAGGCTGCAGCTTGCAGTGAGACCCAATACAGGACTGCTGCTGCCCCTCCACCAAAAAAAAAAACCTCTGCTTGTTCAGCAATAGATGCAGAAGGGCAGCATTAATTTGCTTCCCTGGAGCAAGGTAAGAAAGCAAAAACTTGCCGCCTGCCAGAAACATGGGGTGACTTCCAAGGCCAGCCACAATTTGCAGGTGTCTGACATTTAGACTCCTGCCAGAACCTTATTGCTAGAAAACCACATTCTTTGTCAGGAAAATAAGAAGCTGTGCATTGCATGCACGATGACTTACTGCATCAGGAGAGACCGACAAGGCTTCCTCCTGATGCGACAGTTGCCTGCCAGGCTGTGGTGGTCTGTGTGGCCTCTCCCAATGGTGCAAGGCCTGGTGCAACATCCCACCGGGCTGTGCAGCATCTCTTAATGTGTCACGACCAGGGGCGACTTCACACCAGGCTGTGCTGCATCGGGAGAAGTTGCACAGCCCAGGGCAACTTACCTCCAACTTACCTCAAGATTGGGAAAACCATCCCAGCAGAACTTGGGGGTTGTGGAGGCCTTGTCGAGGTGATGCCCCTGTCTGAAATCCAGGCCATCCCTGGATTTCAGACAGGGATTGAACCTGGGACCTTATGACATTCTACTCATCTATGATCCCACTTCTAAGGTCTAGTATTCTGAACACGTGCAGACCAATCCACCTTCCGCCACCTCAGATGATCCATATGTATGCATTGAAATCACCCTAAATTGGAACTTTCTTTCCAGGCTAGCACCAAATTTGTAAGTGGTGGGTGAGTTTATAGGGGTCTTCAAACAGCCTCCATGTAAATCCATGTAAATCATTTTTGTTAATTATACACTTGTGAAACTTGCCTAGTGTCACTGTATTCACACCTCTAATGTTAGCAACAAAATACTTCTATCTGGTTGAAATCATTTCTTACTTTTATTTAACTGTATACTCCCCCCCAGCTATTATTTATACACAGTAAGATAAAGCAGGTGCCTGAGACACAGAAACAGTATTAAAACGTGTGCATAAAAGCACTTATATTTTTCATACTTTTAGTAGTCTTTGTATAGAACTGCGGCAGCACTGTGAAATCATGGACGTAGCTTTATTTGGAACAACTGTTCGTTTCAAAAATGGAAATTCAGCAAATTGAATAGTAAACCATCAATTAAGAAAAATAATGTCAGGTGTGAAATTCTGTGAAACTGTGTTGTAAATCAAATTGTGATCAAATGGACATTAAGAAATGATTAAACTTCCTTAAATAATGTTGACGTGTCTGCTTCTTTTATAGCATTCTGCCTGACAGATATCTTTAAAAGATGGTACTCCAACAACACTTAACATCCACCAGAATATCAACATCTGATTCTACTTCCGTGGCCATCTATCTATGGCCACAGTTGTTAAGCTTCTTTTAGCAAAGTTGTTGAGCTTTTTTCCCTTGGGGGGGGGGGCAAAATCCCAATAACAACAAATAGTTTTTGAGCTATTTCTTAGGAAATTCACCAATAGCTACATTTCCAACATGAGTTGCCATACATACTTCTGGACATCTCAGCGATTTCTGCTCGGACACTGTTTCCGACTGCCAAATTCCGGCTATGTCCAGAAAATTCCAGATGTACGACAACCCTAGCATATTAACTGGTTTCTTCTTTCTGACAACTTGAAACCACTCCATCCAACATTTAATGGGTGAAAGTAGGAACACTCTTGTGCGGGCATCATAACATACTCATTCTCACACCAAGGACCATGACCCTCTCTGCTACTATAGTCTGCTAACTAAAGGTTCTTTGTTGGTTATATTCTGCAATAATTTACTCCGTAACAATATATTTTGCATTGGTTTCTGAATCGGATGTGCTAGTAAACAGACTAAAAGAGTTTCCTTTGTTTGTTTGTTTTTAATAAACAGCTCTTTACCCTCCTTGCATGTTTTTCCCTGGCTGAAATGTGTCCCTGAACTGTGCTCACCCCCTTACTTTCTCTGGGTACGGGATGGAAAAGAGTGTGCATTACTCCACCCATTTTTTACCCTTAGCCCACCCAGCAGCAATATTTCCTAGGTATATTGCCCAGGGCTACTAGAATGTCTGGCTCTTTAAAAAAGCAATTGCTGGTGCAGTTTTAAAAACAGAAACATGAAACATGACATTTGAAGCCCAACGTTTATTGCAAGATGCATGGGTCATCTATAAATGCCCATTTGAGTCTAGGCCAGCAATTGCCCGGTTCCTTTCCTATAGACACTGTATACTGTGTTGATACACGCTGGCACTTTTCCACTAGGTGTGCCACAAACAGGCAAATAAAACAATGCAATTAAATTGCATCAAAGGGCAAAGGTGCGTGAAATCGGGATTCAACATCTCCACTAACTGTGCATTAGGTACACATTCTAATGTTCTGAAAGAACATGGATTGTGCCATCTAGTGGAGGCTGGGCTCCTTTTTTTCCTTGGCAGTTGTGCCACTTATGTTGTAGAAATGATGTGAAGAACCTTGTCACTACCACTTGTCAAAGTTAGGCCCCAGATCCATAGGAGCAAAGGACTTACACTGCGTGGGGAGGGGAGGAGCTGTTTCTCCTAAAAAGAGGCCCAATGTATAGCTTGAGCATTTGAAAAGACTTGCACATTTCTGTTGTTTTATGTTAAGTTCTAAACTCCAGAAACTACAATCTGTGCGCAGTAAAAACATCTTACATGGTGATGTGTGTTACTTCAAAATGTGGCTGGGGTTCGGAATCCCCTGCTCATTCTGCTGGAATTTTGCCTCAAAGTCCTGCCCTGATACCATCACTGGTAGTGGCTGCAAAGTTAAGGGCCATGGCGAGGGAGGCGGGGGGGTGGAACTGTAGCCAACCTAAAAAGGATCCTGCATACTGTAGAGGGACTGACAGACTGTCAGTGCCAGATCAGAAAGAGCAGAGTTCAAATTCCAGCTCAGATATCTAGCTTAGAATGTGGCATTGGGAAAGTCACTGTCTAAACCTAGCCTATTTTAGCAGGCTGTCATGAGTGTAAATTGGAGTAACCTGATATGCCAATAGTGGGCCTTCACTATGCCAGATTTTGTTGGACTACAACTCCCATCATTTCTGACCATTGGCTATGCCAACTGGGACTCATGGGAGATGGAGTCCAACAATGTCTGGAGGGTTGCAACACCTTGAGCTTCTTGGGGTAAGGGTAGGATGCAATGTGATGCCAGACAGACAAGAGTCCTGCAAATGGCAGCAAGCCCCTTCCTAAGTGCAAGATGCAGAGACCTCCAAAACAAAGGACTTTTTGTGATAATGAAAGAGGCAAGAAAATTCACCAGGAAGTGTGGGACAACACTTGCTTTGTTACAGAAACATCTAACCTCCCAGCAAACAAATCAGGATTAATACTCACTAAATACTCAGCGCCATCTAATTTCTCTACAAATAAACCAGGATAAATCCTAAAACAAAACCAGTCATTCGGAAATGCCCTGTGCTGAACAGAAGTGGAAAACTGAGCAGAAAATTCACATGGGGGGGCAGGACTGTTTCTCCTAAACAGAGGCCCAATGTATAGCTTGAGCATTTCAAAAGACTTGCACATTTCTGTTATTTTATGTTAGGTTCTAAACTCCAGAAAGTACAATACAATACAATACAATACAATACAATACGTGCACAGTAAAAACATCACCACAACAATCTCTGTTTTTCCATGCAACTGCAGTCCATCAGGTCAGATAATAGCAAATTGTTTTGTACAGTCAAGATCTCTCCAAAGCGTGAGATAACAGCATTTGTTTGAAATGTGGCCAGACCTGACCTGTTGCAGAGTGGGGGTGGGGTGGGGAGGGAGGCAGGAAGCCCAACCATTTTCAAAGCACATGGCTACTTTTTCTTTTTACCTTTCATGAGCAACCAAACAAACCCCCATTTCTCGTGCTTCAAAGGGCCATCAGAGTTTCCACATCAAAACCAAAGGGCTCTTTCTGAGCAAAGGTAACTTACTTCCCAACTCCTTTATCACTCAGACTTAGGGTGACTGGTTAACAATTGTTTCTAAGAAATAATAATCTAAAACATTCTAAAATACATCAAATTCAAGAGCTGGGCCAAATGTTTCTTTAAAAAATGATCAAAATGTCGAGTTTCATCACTCAAATACTGAAAGCAATATGTTTCATTCTACATTCAAATTTGTACTTATGAATATATATCCCTCCAGTCTTGAAATTCTAGTAGTATTTTAGTTTCATTGTCACCTCTTGATTGTTTTGGCAGACATCATATATGCAACATGCACAGCAAGCACAGAATACTGTTGTTGCTGGTATCCATCTGTCTCAAGAGACAATGGGATGCGCTTCCAGGGGTGAAATTAAACTGTTGCGTTAGCAGCACTGATGTGACCACTCTGGGGTGCAAGCCTGGTGGTGTGTATGGAGTTCTTGGGCTGCCCAAAATGACAAGACCTCCCTCTTGGCCTCACTGATGTGGTCCAAAAGAAAGCAGAGCAATACTTTTGGCACCAGCTTGGCTGGAAGGAGGCATACAAGGTGCCATCCAACCGTCTTAGGGACTCCAAATTTGTGTAGGGTTTACAGCAGAGCTTTCCAGTGCTTTTTTTTCTGGGGGGAGGCATGCGTACGCATACCCCTAAACATTTTGTGAATCTAAGTTTGGCAGTATTTCAATATGAGTAGGAAAATGAGAGTACCCCTAAACATCTTTTTAGAAAAAAGCACTGGTCGTGCCACCTTAGTGTGTCAGCTGCAGTGTGTAGGTGTCTTGTGCAAATGCTGCCCACTCTCCTCCCAGGGCTGGATAGCTTTGAGTTTAACCTCTGATTTGCTAGTAAAACTGAATTACTGTGTCGCGAAATGATGCAAAACTGAATTGCTGTGTTGTGAAATAATACATGCCTCCTTTAAGAACGAGGCATGAGTTCTCTTTTTTAAAACCCCTCCTCCTTCCCTAGCCCTTTTTCCTTTCATGTCATGTCTTTTAAGATTGTAAGCCTACATACAAGCAGAGACTGTCTTTTTATAGATTTGTAAGCTGGTCTGAGAGCTTTCAGATGTGGAGCAAAGCAAACATGCTTTAAATTAATATAGTTAACAACAATATCTTGGACACAACCTTTTAAAAATCTCAGATGTTGCAGTTGATAACTCTTAAAGCTCAGTTTAGTGAAAAATGTTTAAAGTAATAAAATTGAAAATTTGAATCTTTGCCATTTTGTAGGAGTGATGCCTTGTAGTCAAACGTATTTGTTCACAGCAGCAAATCGTAGCATGAATTGTGCAGAAAACTGCAGGATGAATTCATCTACTATCAGCACTGTGCAACAATGCCCAGGAATAAGTGGTTCTTGCAAGGCAGTGCTGAACAAATCCAAATGAACTAAATGGAGACCAGCAATGTTTAACACAGTATCCGTTGCATCCTTCTGTCATTGTAAAGATGGGGCAATGCATGTCCCATCTGTGCTCTCGGCTCACGTGGTGTAACTGGACTGTGTCAATGTTCTTTAGACTGGAAGGAGGATATGGGATGATAGAAGTGGCCTGTTCATTTTCTGCTCACAATTTTGGACTATGCAAGGGAATGTCACATTTAAGTACTAAGCTACATTATAATCAAAGTCATAGATTAGGGAGGGAAACCATCTAGAGAAAGCTTACTGACTCCAGTTACAGCAGTCTCAAGGACTATATTTACATGCATGCTGCTGATGCCCTGTAGCCATATAATAATACTAACACTAATCCTCAGCGTGGGAAAGAAAACAAGCAGGAGACAGATTAACATCAACAACAAAAAGTAATTAGACCAGTTAAAATGGGCTAATACTAGAATGAAGGAAGACTAAGGAACAGTCCAACATCTATCACTGACCAGTGGCATAAATAAGTGTAAGTACTTGGCCAGAAAGGGTAAATATAGTGGAGATAAACAGTACACTAGTCCAAGCTGCATAAGGCAGTGAACTGCAAATGGCCTGCTACTGTACTGAGGTTTGTAAGCAGTGACTGGATTCGCTTTTGAGTTAAACCCTTTCCTGGAGTAAGATTTACCGCATTTAAATGTCTCCGATTTACACCAGTGGGTTATGTACGCCTGGCAGTCAGCCCCTTCACTGACATCTGAAAGCTGCAGTTTATTTGGTGTCGTGTCTGCAAAAGTTCAGGTTTCTCTATCGCTTCCACGCTGTCTTTTAGTTTTTGCTATCTTGAGTAAAGCAATGCCTGAAATAAGCAGCTGTGCTGACGAACGGCAATAGTGGCGTCATTGTCTCAAAAGATAATGCCAGGCTGCTTAATGCATTTTGATGCACAGCACAATTAACCTTGTCCTGCGTGCCAGAATTTCCACTAGAAACAATGACCTACTTGCTATGAGGTGTCAATGAAAATAGCAATTATATTTAACCAGAGTACAAAGGCAAGATATTGGATGTTGCAGAGCTCTGCTGTTCCCAATTCCTCTTCCTTTGGGGGGGACACTAAAAGCAGATCTACAGAGCCGGCAGCCTGTTCCATCTCAGATTACAGAACCGGAGGTGTCAGATTTCAACCCTTCTCAGAAAAACCCTTCCTGCAAGTGGGAGGTACGCACATGAGGGTTAAGTATTCTAGCTAGCTGGTCTTTTCTGTGATGTACCAAAGCTTGTATCCAATGCAATGCTAAGCAATTATCCCATCAGTACAAGGATTTCTGCTTGTGCCTTGGGACTTTGCCCCGCTACCCTTGTCCTGCCCCACTCCCTGCACATGCAAAGATGATATCGAATCATAGAATTGTAGAGCTGGAAGGGATCTCAAGGGTCATCTTGTCCAACCCCCTGCAATGCAGGAATCTAAACCAAAGCATCCATAACAGATGGGTATGTCAAAGAAACTCCTAGTCTTCTCTCTTGCCAAGGTAGTATTGACATACTGGGAGTCATATTCAGTACTGGCATTCCACCAGCTTTTAAAGAGACACCTCCTTACATAAGCAGTCTCCTGATTGAACCTCCTATTTTACTTGCCTTAATCGCTGGCTTGACAGTTTTAATTGCTGTGCTGTGTTAATAGGTTTGTTTTGTTGCTCCATTTTAATTGTGAAGGTTTATTTTTATTCGTGTGAACTGCTCAGAAGCCACCTTGCCAATTAAGCAGTATATACATTTAATGATATTAATAAACATTGAAACGTATGTACCATCCATTCACTCAGATACACTGCACACGTCTGCCGAGATGGTGTGCTCTTTCTCAAAGGGCCTTTTCTTGTGTTGTGAGCACCAGGTGGTCAAACTTTATTTGTGGCTAGCTGTCTTTTAAAGCATATTTTTAAATAACCAATGTAAAGACCTATCAATAAGCCCAGACAGGAAACGTGTGATGACCGACGGTAGGGTGGATCATCAGGCAATGAAACGCTGGCAGAACTATATTGTCAGATACATTAAAACTATCAACAACAGCTACTAGCTATGTTCTGCCTTCATGGTGTTTTGTCAATGGGTTCTTTATCTGGGATGTATGAAGCAAATGCAAAACACAAGCAGTGAAGGAAGTCTGAAACTTATTGAGCAGCAGGCTTCTCATACACAAGGATACAGAATCACTCCTTTGCACAAGCATAGACACAAGATAGGATAGACTAACATGCCAGGCCCTCCTTTACACAAGGATATCAAGCAAGCAACAATCCCTCCTTTACACAAGGATAGACACAAGAATAGAAAGCAATAACATACCAGGTGGATGGCAGAACCCCTCCTTTCAGGTGCTGAAAGCACCAAGGATGTAGCAGCAGAGTAGACCCTAATCTGGCCAGACTATACAGCACATTCATCAGTTTAGGCCTGCATCAATACTGTTACCCCCCAAGTTACCTTCACCTGGCTTCATTGTTACTACCTTCACCTGCCTTGGGGGTCTCATGAGCTAGGCCAGCAGGCAAGCAAAGTAATTTTGTGCCAGAAGCCCTCCTGTGAGCGCAATCAAGTCAGCAGAACTCAGCATTAGAATCACTGCTGCTGAGCTCATGGTGACATGAAGGGTTCATTGTGCAAGGCCATCTACACCTCCTTGGTAACCATCCATCTTCTGCATTTCCACTACTCGTAATCAGAGGAAGTAAGCTTCTGAATATTAGTTGCTGAAAATCACATGTGGAGAGAATGCTGTTGGATCCTGTTTGTGGGCTTCCTACACACAGGCATTTGGTTAGTCACTGTGAGAACAGGATGCTGGACTAGATGAGCCATTGGCCTCATCCAGCAGGCTCTTTATGATGTTTAAATATTCTCATGATTGTTTTTTGTTTTGTTTTTATTTGTTTGTTTTGCTTTTAACAGGAGAGCTTTTCACAGCAAATCACCCCATTCATTGATCTTGTCCGGTGCTGCTTACTCAAACCAACAGCTCTTCAAGGGCAAAGGTCTCTATGGATCCTGTTACCAAGATTCTTTATCTGGAAAAGCTGGGCAGTGAATCTGGTGATTTCTAAATTCAGAGCACAGGCACTGCCAGTGGGTTGCGCTACATTAAATATATACAATTGGAACATGCAACAAAATCCCTTTTGCAGTAAATCCTCACCTTCTATCAGCCGTGCTCCTGTTTATGGTTTTAGTCAGCCATGCCCCATTCCAGGAGGATAGGCCACTCCACTTAATTCCATCCCATCCCACAGCACTAGTTTCTTCTTCTTCCAGTCATTAGAATTCTGTGGCATGCTCATTCCTCATTGGGCTGTTTGGAACGTTGTGAGTTTCTGCATCTTTAAGGTCCTAATTTCTGCTTGCCATTTTGCAAATCTCAAGGATCCCCCAAGCAGGCTGATATCCTCCTCATTTCTCAGTTGTTTTGTTTCGACTCAAGTTCTGTCAGCACTCACCACCTGAGTTTGCTATTAGATGGACTGCTAGCTACCTCTTGACAACAACTCCTGGTAGGGCTTGTGAAATGGGAACCATTTTAAGAACATTTTAACCAGCCTTTCAAGGGGCATAACTTTGAGTGCCTCTTTATTTCCCCCTCATTGCTGGCTGGGCAGGAAAAGTCTAGACATTACTCTTCATGCAGAGAGGAGGAGGAGAATAACAAAGAGATAGAGGCAAATTCCCACTGAAATGAGTGAGATGTGATTTCAAATGCAGGTGTGTATCATTCAAGGTGCACAATTTGGATAATGGATTTTTGCCTGTATAATCCCCGCAGAAGCAAATTCAGTTTTGTTGCCACTGATCTTATCCAAGTGAAGAAAATAGGCTGAGGAATACTCTAACCTGCCTTCTGGAATATTTATAGCTTCCCATTCTTGCATTAATTCTGTATTCTACAGTGAAACAAGTTGTGTTTCTTTCTCCCAGAGGGAGAAACAGGTAGCATTAAAATTAGGTTCTTGCTGCCTCCTTAATGAGGCATCCTCATTTGTTATGGATGTGCTGTACTCTGCCAACCAGAGAGGTTTTGACTTCAGCTACCATTTTTCTATACAAAAGACCTCAAAGTCTGATTGGAGAAAATATCAGAGATCTTTTAAAAAGTGGGTGTGCTTATGAAAAGGCCCTTGGTTTTGTTAGGGACCTGTGTTTCAGCTCCAAATGCAATTGAATCATTACATTGTACCTTTAAATTCCCTGACATGGAATGGGCATGAGCACAAAATTTGCATTCTCAAGACTCTCCATTTTAATAATAATAACAATATTATTAATAATAAACCTAACCGAGGATTTTACAGTGGTGCCCCGCAAGACGAATGCCTCGCAAGACGGAAAACCCGCTAGACGAAAGGGTTTTCCGTTTTTGAGTTGCTTCACAGGACGAATTTCCCTATGGGCTTGCTTCGCAAGACGAAAATGTCTTGCAAGTCTTGAGATTTTTTTTTCGCTTTTCGCCCCCTTTATCTAACCTGCTAAGCCTTTAATAGCCTTTAATAGCCTTTTAGCAGCTAATCCGCTAAGCCTTTAAGCCTTTAATAGCCGCTAAACCGCTAATAGCGCTAATCCGTTAAGCCGCTAATAGGGTTGCTTCGCAAGACGAAAAAACCGCTAGACGAAGACTCTCGCGGAACGGATTAATTTCGTCTTGCGAGGCACCACTGTATCCAATTAGTCCTACTCAGAGTGGGTCCATTGAAACAAATGGACCTAAGTTAGTCATGTTCATTAGCATCAATGGGTCTGCCCCAATTATGATTTCCCTCATGGCTATAAATATATGTGTGAACATGAATCATAGAATCATAGAATCATAGAATCATAGAGTTGGAAGAGACCACAAGGGCCATCGAGTCCAACCCCCTGCCAAGCAGGAAACACCATCAGAGCACTCCTGACATATGGTTGTCAAGCCTCTGCTTAAAGACCTCCAAAGAAGGAGACTCCACCACACTCCTTGGCAGCAAATTCCACTGTCGAACAGCTCTTACTGTCAGGAAGTTCTTCCTAATGTTTAGGTGGAATCTTCTTTCTTGTAGTTTGGATCCATTGCTCCGTGTCCGCTTCTCTGGAGCAGCAGAAAACAACCTTTCTCCCTCCTCTATGTGACATCCTTTTATATATTTGAACATGGCTATCATATCACCCCTTAACCTCCTCTTCTCCAGGCTAAACATGCCCAGCTCTCTTAACCGTTCCTCATAAGGCATCGTTTCCAGGCCTTTGACCATTTTGGTTGCCCTCCTCTGGACACGTTCCAGTTTGTCAGTGTCCTTCTTGAACTGTGGTGCCCAGAACTGGACACAGTACTCCAGGTGAGGTCTGACCAGAGCAGAATACAGTGGCACTATTACTTCCCTTGATCTAGATGCTATACTCCTATTGATGCAGCCCAGAATTGCATTGGCTTTTTAGCTGCCGCGTCACACTGTTGGCTCATGTCAAGTTTGTGGTCAGCCAAGACTCCTAGATCCTTTTCACATGTACTGCTCTCAAGCCAGGTGTCACCCATCTTGTATTTGTGCCTCTCATTCTTTTTGCCCAAGTGCAATACTTTACATTTCTCCCTGTTAAAATTCATCTTGTTTGTTTTGGCCCAGTTCTCTAATCTGTCAAGGTCGTTTTGAAGTGTGATCCTGTCCTCTGGGGTGTTAGCCACCCCTCCCAGTTTGGTGTCATCTGCAAATTTGATCAGGATGCCCTTGAGTCCATCATCCAAGTCGTTGATAAAGATGTTGAATAAGACCGGGCCCAAGACAGAACCCTGTGGCACCCCACTAGTCACTCTTCTCCAGGATGAAGAGGAACCATTGATGAGCACCCTTTGGGTTCGGTCAGTCAGCCAGTTACAAATCCACTGAGTGGTAGCATAGTCAAGACCGCATTTTACCAGCTTCTTTACAAGGATATCGTGAGGCACCTTGTCAAATGCCTTGCTGAAATCAAGGTAGGCTTGATGGGCTGGATGATGCTTGCCAAAAATCAATAATAATAATAATAATAATAATAATTTATTTATACCCCGCCCATCTGGGCAGCTCCCAACAGAATATTAACAACACATTGAAAAATCAAACATTAAAAACTTCCCTAAACAGGGCTGCCTTCAGATGTCTTCTAAAAGTCAGATACAGTAGTTGTTTACAGTGGTGCCTCAGGTTAAGTACTTAATTCATTCCGGAGGTCCGTACTTAACCTGAAACTGTTCTTAACCTGAAGCACCACTTTAGCTAATAGGGCCTCCTGCTGCTGCCGCACCGCCGGAGCACAATTTCTATTCTCAACCTGAAGCAACGTTCTTAACTTGAGGTAATATTTCTGGGTTAGCAGAGTCTGTAACCTGAAGCGTATGTAACCTGAGGTACCACTGTATTTCCTTGACATCTGGTGTGAGGGTGTTCCACAGGGTGGGCGCTCCACAGGGTGGGCACCACTACCGAGAAGACCCTCTGCCTGGTTTCCTGTAACCTTACGTTTCACAGTGAAGAAGGCCCTTGGAGCTGGACCTCAGTGTCCGAGTTGAGCGATGGGGGTGGAGACGCTCCTTCAGGTATACTGGGCCAAGGCAGTTTAGGGCTTTAAAGGTCAGCACCAACACTTTGAATTGTGCTCGGAAACATACTGGGAGCCAATGTAGGTCTTTCAGGACCAGTGTTATATGGTCTTGGCAGCCACTCCCAGCCACCAGTCTAGCTGCCGCATTCTAGATTAGTTGTAGTTTCCGGGTCACCTTCAAAGGTAGCCCCACATAGAGCGCATTGCAGTAGTCCAAGCCGGAAATAGCTATAGCATGCACCACTCTGGTGAGATAGTCTGCAGGCAGATAGGGTCTCAGCCTGCGTACCAGATGGAGCTGGCAGACAGCTGCCTTGGACACAGAATTGACCTGTGCCTCCATGCACAGCTGTGAGTCCAAAATAACTCCCAGGCTGTGCACCTGCTCCTTCAGGGGCACAGTTACCCCATTCAGGACCAGGGAGTCTCCCACACCTGCCCACCCCCTGTCCCCCCAAAACAGTACCAGAGAGATGGCGGAATAAGAGTTTCAGTGGGTGGAGTTAAGCATTCAATGTGTCCTACAATTTAGCAAAACATGGAAAACTTCAATATATTTGAGATGGGAAAATAAGATAAAAATACAAATTTGCTCGATATGTACCATTTGGGCATGTCACAGAGTTTACTGTGGCCTGCCACGGGCTTAGAATTGCCCAGGTGCAGAATTTTACTTGGATTTTAGCCTAGATTAGTAAGTCGGCTCCAACTAGCCTTATAGCTCCATGTGGTGTTCAAGGGGCTACTTGGGAGCAGAAAAAGAACAATGGCACTTCACAGTCTATCCTAAGAACACTCAGAACAGCCACATGTCCCTGGCAATAGTACACAACAGGGCAACATCACCATTCTTGCGACACTTGGGAACTCTGTTAAATTGATTTATTCCCACCCACAATTCCATTTATTATTCAGTTTATTATGCTGGCACTCAGTTGTCCTTCCCTTTTCACGCTGGGTTGTTTTTGTGAAATAGTTTCAGATGTGCTGAGAAAACTAGAAAACAAACCACTACCCAGACATACCAACCACACCTAAAATCTGTAAGCATGCTAGACCACCAGGCACATTTTTTAGCACATATAAAGACTCGTTTTACTTCTGGCATTCCATGTGCCAACAGCTAGAAAGAAGTTTGGGAACCATAAAATCAAACAAACTCTGGTGTTTTTTCAATTATTTTCAGATGATTTCATTGGTAGGACCAAGAAATTGCTTTTTTTTAAAAAAAAAAAGTGTTTTGGTCAGGGTTTTGCAGGAAGGATTCAAGTGCATGTAGGGATTGCACAACTGGAGTGGATTAAAGTGCTCTGTTTGGCCTAACACAATAAATCCACTTTTTTTAAAAAAAAAGTGGACTTTTGCAGTTTAGAAAGTAATGGGGAAATTCATTGAAAAGTGTGGGGTGGAGATTCATGGGAAGACATATGAACACTACGCAAGCAAGCCAGGATGAGTGCTTGTTTGTTGTCATATCACCTTCCTGTAAACAAGTCAGAACAAACACCCAAGCAAGAAAAGACATAGTCTAACCTCCCCGTTAGCATTACGCAAGCAAATCAGGATGAACACTCAGTAAACAGGATGTTATAGCCCTGCCTTCTCTAGTGCTGCTCAGACACCTCTTCCTTTCCTTTTCTTGCTTGGTGCGGCTGAAAGTGCTGTCATGCTTTGAAGGGCACTACTTTAGGCTTAGTCCTCCCTAAGAGCAGATGAGGTGGTAAACCTGTTTGTGGACTGCACCATGTCAGAAGGAAGGAGGGGTAATGGCAGGGCTTTTTTTTTCAACCGGAACTCCCTGGAACTGAATTCCGGCAGCTCTTAGAAGGTGGAGGTCCTACAGCTCAACAACCTTGGGTGGGTGCTCAGCAAGTTCCACCACCTCTTTTTCTAGAAAAAAAAACCCCGGGTAATGAAATGGCCAGATGCTCCCCCTCCAATAGACATTTCTTGCACATAGAAAAGTGGCATGTCCCTTGGACTTTATGGATTGGCATGCCAAGGTTGTCTGATGTAAATGCCCTACACCCACCCTCCCCTTCTTCAGATATAACAGCACCCCAACCTCTGCAAGCAGGCCTGTGCAGAGCTTGTTTAAGGTCTGGGGCATGAGTCTTATTAGAATAAAGTTATAAACTCAAACAAAAAAGCAGTTTATAATTTACTGGGATGCTTTCTTAGGGAGGTCTCTGATTTTATGTGGAACACTAGTGACACCCGGTGGTTGCTTGTACTCATTACAGTTTTACTTTTTTGAACAGTATCTCTATTGCATGCAAGAACAGGCCTAACAACCAAGGTCTATGAAAAAGGAGTATATCAACAAGGCTTCAGGGTTTTTTGGTGTTGTTTTGTTTTTCTGCAGAAACAGGAATGGCAGCAGCAGCAAGTTAGCACATTTCTGACCTTAGTGGCTGTAGAATACAGGGCATCAATCAAGTGTAAGGATCACAGTTTAATGATTTCCAGAAAGGAGCAGCCAAGTTAGGCATGTCTGGAATGTACTTCGGCACATTTTTGAAAAGGGAACTATTGGGGTTAATGCTATTCTAACACTGTCATAGTACTAGATCTGTTCCACAGAACTTATGCGTTACCTAGCCCTCACATACAAAAGGGAGCATTTTTGTTATCGCATTGAAGTAAGCTACCGTAGCTGAGCAACTTCTTCAAATTCTCCCACCAGCTAAACCTGCCCACTGGGTTCTGAGACAGGGCCAGCCATAGCTTGGTGGTAGAGCATCTGCTTTGCATGCCAAAGGTTACAAGTTCAATCCCTGGCATCTCCAGCTAGGGATGGGAATGCTCTTTGTCTGAAGCCCTGGGGAACCACTCACTGACAGTCGGTGTTGACAGTACTGAGATGGACCATAATATCTAAGAGCAAGGAAGCTTCCTATATTCAAAATGTCCAATGCAGGACATTCTATTGCCTGAAGCAAAGGGCAAGATGCCACCCTCTCATTCCACATACAAAAATCAAGAAGATTGGCAAATTAAATCATATTTCAACACTCTAGCAATGAGACAGTGTCTTTTACCACACCTGAAGGCCAACGGCTAGCTTAGTGGGTGCAGGGCAAGCCATCTCCAAGACAACAGCGATGGACAGTTCACATTCAATAGCTTTACACTGCTATTGCAGTGATCTGAAATCACTTCAGATCTGGCCCCAACTCTCCTTTATTTTTTGGATTCCTGGCTTGTTCTTTTCATGAGCTCATTTCTGCCTTGGGCTTTCTGACACAGAATGTGCAAATGAGTTCCGTCCCCAACTCCAACCCCTAGCTGACGGATAAAAAACACGTACCCTTCTTTCAGGACACCTACAAATGCAACAGGTAGAAAAGGGCGTTCAATCATCACGTTGTTCCTTCTGTCTTTGAACCTGAAATGGCTATTCATGCATTCTGCTTAATGGATAACTTATCCCTAGAAAATATTTTTGTCAGTAATAATTGGGAGATAATATCCAAGAATTCCCTGCGCATTATCCATGCACACACAGAGAGATTGAAAGTGTCAATCAGTATTATCAGCATCTACTAAATGCCTTCCATCCTAAACTCTTTTTATAAGGAAGTTAAAATATAATCCAAACATGGAAAAGTTGGGGGAAAGCGAAGGAGAAATGGATAATGACACATGATCCAGGTTTAGTCTTCTGCAATTGTTAAAAGCCTTGGATGGGATTCATATAAAGAAGTTATCCAGCTAGTTTAATAGGGCCCAGCTGAGCATTAACGCATGGATGCAAATGAGTATTCAGGTTCACATTTGCAGTCTCATTCATTGCACATCTGTAAACCTGCTTGTGCTATCAACATCTCTTGCTAGATTACATGCTGCTTGCAAGCCTGAATAGGTAAGATAAATTGACATATGGAGGCAGCTTGTTCCAAAGAGAAGAAATAGAAAGCAAAAACCGTCAAAGATGCAACATGAAAGAACAAACCTTAGGCATACGTAAGGCAGCAAAAGGTAACAGGGAAACAGATGCCTTGTGACAGGTTTCGCCAGCCTTCTAGTGCTGGGAAGTTGCATAAACACAAGGTCAAAGTCTGCAAAGCAGAATAGAAGGAAAAGAAGCCAGCAGGTTTTTCCCCATGCAAGGAAGTCAATGGTCAAAGCATGAGAGCGCTTAGGAAAGGGTACAGTTCCCCTCTCTGATAAGACTAGGTTATGCATTTGAGGCAAAGGCAAAGATTGACACACCTGCAGTCCTCGGGGTGTGGGTGGGTGTTTATATATCTGTATCTATAATCCTCTTAAGTGAAAAATTCTCAACAGAGAAGAGCCTTTTTAAAAAGCAGGAAGTCACCAGAGAATTGCTCACCTGAGGCCCCATGAGGCATCATTATGAATTACTTGCTCATTTCCTGAAGTGTTGGAATATTTCTCCTCTGCAAGGAAAGTGTGAAAAGCCTGGAATAAAAATGCAAACAGCCAGATGTCAAATTGTAAGATGATAACTGACTTGGTGCATAGCATTACACAATGGATAACCTGCCAACATGCAGTTGTAGCCAGCTAACCTCTACACAGAGTAGACCCTTCAAAATGAATAGACGTAAGGTACTCATCTCCATTAACTTCAGTATGACTAAGACTGTACAGTACTCAACTGAGGGTGTGATAGTATATCTCTTTTCAACCACCTTCATTGGCTTCCTGTTTGCTTCTCTACTGAATTCAAAGTGCTGGTGCTTATTTATTTACCAAGTTTTACATCCTGCCTTCCTTCAAGGAATTCAAGCTGATTGCATGGGATTCCCTGTGTAACTTCAGCAAAATGGTTGCCCCATGACCCTTCAGATCAAATTTTCACTTTGGAAGTGGTGTTTGAACTTGCCAGTAGCTGGGGGATGGATGCTGAAATGGCAGTGAAATCCAGGGGTGCTATTATTATTATTATTATTATTATTATTATTATTATTACCAACTTAGGCTTGCTTACCCTACCTGGAGAGAATGGACCTTGCCTTTTTTATTATCCAGGATGCCCTACTTCAATGAACACTATGTGGGTGGGTGTCTCCTTAGAGATGGTTTGGAAATTTCAGCTGCTCCAAAATGCTGTTTGGGGTCAGTCAGTCAGAGCATACCATGCCCATATTGTTACTTCCTTCTCATTTCTTTATTGAATTAATGGCAGGTATTACAGTTAAAATGCTTTTGGCACTTCACAGCTTAATACTTTGGTTCACGAGCGAGGGACACTTTTCGTCAGTTACCCACACTATTTCCACTTCTACCACTGAGGTACTCCAATTAGTACCCAGGGAGTTACCGGCTTGTTACCGGCTTGGGAATCTTTTCCAAGAAAAACTCTCTCCTCCTGACTGGAATGAGACCCAAGGAATCGGTATTCCCACAGCTTCTACCTCTCCTCCCTCAGACTCAGCCCTCCAGTGAACTCCTGTCTGTTTACCTTCCTCAGACACTCAACGCCATCTTCCTTTCGAAGCTGCGAGGCTCTTTCCTCTTGCTGTCGACGGTCTCCTCAGAACAGATGTTCAATTCAAATCAGATTCTCTCAGACAAACCCTCTCCTAATCCCCATCTCCCATCTCAAATCGAGCCCTCTCTCTCTCAAACTAAACCCTCTCCCTTCTCTGTCCCTGTCTAACTCTGTCCCTCAGAAACTGCTCCTTTTATTCTTCCCTCCAAAGTGCTGTTCCACAAATACACCCCCCCCCCTGGCTAGCAGTCTTGGTGGTCATCAGAAAGAAGCTCCAGCCCTCTGGGTGCAATTCTGAAGGACTTCATCACCAGACTTTGGTCTGGTTCTGCTGTCTATCACAAACACTATTCTGTTGGTGGTTATATGCAACAAGACCTTCTCAGAGGTGGCCTCGCAGCTGTGGAATTTCATCCCATGTGAGGTCAGGCAAGCCCCGCCCCTGGATAATTTTAAACAGGCCTTTTTTATGGCCTTCGGAAGCTAATTGCAAATATTGCTGTATAAATGGCATTGCGGCCTAGTTTCTAAATAGGCTATTTGCTATTTCCCTGCTGGCTTTTAGAAAATACGGCACAGATATTTTAAATGGTTTTAAAATGTGTTTTCAAATATAAATCATTGTCAATTAGGGTTTGATGTGTGGAGAAATTACCGTTTAAAATGTGTTTCCTGAGACAGGGTTTTGTTTTTTTAAAATAAAAGTATGCTGTGGATGTGGGGTTATGTGAAGGATTAAGTTTAAAATACCATGAATCTGAGGGTAGATGGCAGTTGGCAGCTACTCAGTTGCAAAAAGAATGGTCATGGAAAAGCGGGTTCTTTTTATATGAACCAAGAGGATTGTAAAATTTCACTGGGTAGAAATTCTTGGTCACTTATTGGACACAAAAAAAGTGGTCTGGTGAGGGGGTAGAATTATATGCCCCTCAAATCTGACTGGTTGGTTGCAAGTGTAGGCTGGCTGGAACATAAATACAACCATTCTCAATGTATTTTTGCTCTGCTACACATTTGAAAAGGGCATGTTTATTCTTCCATTGCTGCTGCTGCAGCTGCTTCTGCCATTTTCATCTCGCACTATTTCAGCTACTTTTGAGTTGAAATCTGACAAACTTTTTTTGTGCTTGCTTTGCACCAGGAACCTGTTAATGCAATGTCGGGGTTATTTGCAATGAATAATACATTGACATTTTATTCTCCTGAGGAAACAACTTTATTTTGAATTCTTTGTTTTGGTGTGCTCATTTGAGGCTGGAACATTTTGTACACTTAGCTGCAGGAACCAGAATAGCTGGTTGCACCCTTCTGCTCCACTTATTAGGATCCCAGCAATAAAATTGTCTAATTTCATACATACTCTCGTATGCCCCCCCCTTTTACTGCTGATGTAATTATTTTAATTAAACTGCCCTGTTCCCACAGGCTCAGGCAAACTTACTATTAATAAAGCAATATTTCCTTTGCTTTTTGCTTATCCTCATCATTTACTTAACCTCCCTACAAATACTTTTCATTGAAATGATTTTAAACAAGATCTTAAAAATTGTCCTCTGCCCCCCCCCCCCCCCTGGCAGCCTAGCAAAAGCTGGTAAGTGTTTCTAGAGACCAATGCTACCTGGGTAAGCAGAAACATTGAATCACAGAGAACACCCAAATTGCATTCTTACCTTTTTTGGCTCTCTCCATATCTTCACCCCTATCTTTGTACCATTGTTTCCAGTTCTATCTCTCCCCATGAGCTTCAGTCCTCCAGTTTGAAACCAGCTCTACCTACCTTCCTTGCTACCTCTCGTGCCTACTTCCAAGAGTATCTAGCGAACGGGTAGGTGATGTGGTGCCCTCCAGATGTTTTGTGGACTACAACTCTCATCAGCCCCAGCCAGCATCACCAATGGGGAAGAATGATGGGACATGCACTCCACTGGTGATATTCCATTAAATATTTGCACCAGTGCAATGGGATTTCCTCCCTCTCCTCCCCTCCCCTCCTGTGTGACCTGAACCATTACCAAATCTGCTCTGGAGGGTTGGAGGAACCCCCAGTACAGATTTTGGGGATACATGGTGTGTGTGAGAACAGTCTATTGTACAAGGAGAAATCTTGCATTGGGGGAATGTTCTCCTTATTGTTAGGTTGAATACAAGCCCATTACACCAAGAGAGCACCACGTTGGCTACCCCTGATGTAGATAGTACTCCCTTTTTGTCTTCATTCAGATCCCCACCTGTAAGCGTCACCTTGCTGGTAAAACCTTTGGCCTACCCTCTTAAGTCACCATCACCGGCTAAATTTTAAGCTGTGTTTTTATCTTGTGTTCTCATCCTGTGAACCACACTGGGAAGGGAGGTATATAAATATAAATAGTAGCAGTAGCAGCATCTAAAGTACATGTATTCATTCATACCCACCCCTTGCCCCTTAACATCAGCTTCTCTCAGCAGAAGCTCGTCTTTTGGGCTTAAGTCTGTACAGCAGCACATAGACTGATAAGATTTCAACCAGCGCTGGCAACAGGGCTCTATATTGTTACAAGTTCCTTAACATACATCCCAAGCTGCCTATGGCTGGAAACGAGGATACTGGACTTTGATGGGCTACTTGCTTCACCTAGTGTTCATTGCAGTTTGAATCTGAAGCTGCAAGCAAGAACCGACTGCAACCAGTGCACAGAGTTGGTGTTTGGTGTAGCCGCAGTCATCCCCACCATTAAGGAGAAAACTCCCAACTGATGCAGCAAGCTGGAGAGATGAAATGGCACAATAAGAGCATTTTGGAAAGCGGATGAAGACGATGCCACGAAAGAAATGCAGGAGCCAGGTGGGAACACTCAGTAAGGTGTCGGATAGGTGTGAAAGCATGAGATCCACTACATTTAGAACAGGTTTAAACATATTAAAATTCTGGCCCCACTTTCAATAAGGCACAGGATTCATGTTTCTTTGTTTTTCTTTTACCATATACTATTCCCCCCCCCTTTTTAACCCCGTTACATTATCCAGAGACACAGAAAGAGAGAGGGAGCTAAAAGTATATTGTTTATGATCAGAGCGTAGGTTGCTTTGTGGACAAAAAGAACTACTTTTAACTATATAGTTTCAAAATTCCAAGGGGTAAAGAGAAAAATCATATATTGTTTGTTTGCAGAACTCAGCATAGCTAAAATTGTACAATCCTTCTAGCAAAGCTGAACATTTAAAGCCAAGTTTTAAAGCCAAGCCAAACAGAATGAGCCCCACAAAAAGCCAAAGCCAACACAGATGGCATTAACATTATAAAAAAGAGACTACTTGTTTAAAAGCCTTTTTATTTTCCTTCACCATTATTGTTTTACAATACAAATTTCACCTTGTTGAACACACAAAAAAAACCCTACAGAAGATAACTCTGTTTCACGTAAAATACAGAATGAATATATATATTTTTATATAGATAGATAGATATATGCTTCTTCATTCTTAAAAAACTATTTTGTTCTGCACATTGGCAAGTATAGGATAGAATACTTCCCCCAGACACAATATGTATGGCAGGACTGAAATTTTAGAGTTACATGCAGTTTCTGCACAATTCTGTTTTCAAGAAATCAATTGTTTTTCAACAAAATTTTCAGGGATGAGACATTGTTTATAGTTTGATTTTTGATTTGCTAATCATTTGGAGAGAAAAATAATCTTATAAAAAGGAATCCATAGCTGTTTTCTTGCTATAGTTAAAATCCATGTATGGAATGGACAATAAAATAATTTAAGAAGCAAATTTCACTCTAACATCTCCACAATATGTGAAGACTTGATTATGGTATTTGGTTTTTCTTCCAATTTAGTCATCTGAACATTGCAAGCAGATTCCCAATTTAATTTAGATATAAAATCAAAATTTAGTAATGTATACAATACATATAATATTTGTTTCATGGAATACTTTATTTTAAATTAAAACTTGTAAAGACTGCCTACTGACCATACTATCAAGACAAGAAAGGCACTAGAAACAGATACATCTCTCTCCCAAGAAGCTTTTTTTTATTTTAACTCTTTTCTCTGACATGTAAAAATCTTTTTTAGATTTTATTTTTACGCATATCATTTTGAAAAATAAAGTTAGGAAATACTTAGAAAAATCACTTTACAACAGAATAATTTTTTGCACTTTTTGACACTGTCACTGCAGATTTACAAAATCAAAGTTTACCAAACCTTTCTGTGTCTATCATTAGTAGCTTCAGTGAAACAGGTAGAAAGATTCCTGTATATTATTATCCCAATCAGGTATTTAGAAACCTTCATATAGACATTTGCTAGAAAATGGCTTACAGCCCAATCTTTGGGGCAAGAGATATGAAAATTATGTTTTCCCAAGAAAATAATACGCTTTGTTCCCAGACGAGACTGGAAAGACCAGAACTTATGATATAAAAGCCTCTTTTTCTGTTTACGCTGCTGCATCATATACAAAGAAACATGGTGATTAGCAATGCAAATCCAAAATCTATTAACAAGAAATGTATACAGTGCATGATAATTTACGGTTTCGTTATTGTTGTCCATCGCAGATCCTTTGGAGAGAGAAAAAGTTCACAGTGCTTACCAGGTAAGAGACTAGATTACAGTCAAGGTAATGGTTAAAAGGTAGAGGAAAGGGAGCAGTTCAGTTTTTATGGCATCTCTTCTTGTGGAGTTCTTAGCACTTTTGGACAGTTCTTTTGCCATCTCTTCTTCTTCTTTTTTGTAGCTGTTATGTGTCATTCACCAATCTGCTGTACTTAGGCTGTCTACCCAGTCGGAGAGCTTGCCAGGAAAATGGCCAGTGGTAAGAGCGTGGGACAATGCCCGGAACATTCTTTTCAAAGTACTGGAAGGGTCTATACCACCACACTCGTGCAAGGAGGTTTGTCTGGGAAGCTTCTTTTAGCACCTGCAAAACAACAGTGTTTACAAATGAAGCCTCAATAAAGGAAAACCCACAGGCAGCAGTTTATTTGCTCTTCCAATATATTTCATGCCTGAAACACATTATTAGGGTCCCATTATGACTACTACTTTTTGGGGCTGGGGGACAGAAGAAACACAGGGGAGAGCTTGCTATGTACCCCATCACACCAACAGAAAAGAAGAGCACAACAGAAGTAGCACATGGAAACTATGATTTAAATGTGCTTTGCTTCAGGAACTTTTTTTCCTTATCATACCTTATTATATCTTGGGAAGCAATCAATGTTTTTGCATACTATCTATTAATAATGGTTTCACATCTTAGAACAAAAAAAAACCCGTCCCTGACTGTTTCACAAGTAGGAAAGCACCGAGCAGGAAGTACTTAACATATTCAGGACAAGCCTGAAAGGCAGATATGAGTAGCCAAACTTGTTTGAGCTTGTTGCTGCTCACTCTCCCCCCAAGTCCCCTCCTCATGACAGAAAGTGTGAATGCACACACATATATATACTGCCTTCCCAGAGGGTCTGGATAAAAAATCAGATCCAGTACAAGAACAAATGTATTGGAATAGGTCAGCTTAAGCTATTGGGGGAAGAGAGACTCACTTGTTGGTTGGCCATTGTGTGATACCACCAGAAAAGTCTTGTAGTGATGTAGTAAGCCACCACCACATCCACAGTGTAGTGGTCATGAGCCAAGAGGATACAGAACATCCCCACTAAGCTGAGAGTCCAACAAACCCAATGATACCACCAGAGTCGCCGAGGTGAATCTGAAGGCAAGGAAAGGTGGAAAGCATTAATGCCATGCACATAGCACATTCTCCTTCACAGGATGAAGAATTAAACACAGTATCATAAGCTGAACATCTTCAAATGGGATAACCCCCAGCATTCTGTGGAATGGAAAGAGGATAGTAACAATATCATAGATATCTGTGGCTTCAGAACTCTAGCTGCCATTGCCTCCCTGAGAACGTTTCAGGGAATAGTGCAGCCATTCAAATGAGAGCTCAATTTAAGCATGCATTTCTTGTTTACTTACTATTGCTATCATTGTCACTACAATTTATTACCTGCCCTTCTTCACCCCCAAGCCCCAGGGTGGGTTACCACAATTAAAACACAGTATTAAAAGCAGTTTACAGCAATTTAAAATAGCCAGACACACTACTGTTGGAAGGGAGTTTCACAGCCTAGGGTCTGCCACAGATAATGCTTCTCCCTGGACCATCACCCTCCAAGCTTCTGAAGGCTGTGGAAGGGTGCTCCCTCGAATGATCTTACTATCCAAGGCAGTCTGTAGGGAATGAGGTGGCTTTTTTCCAGGTATTTGGGGCCTAAGTCATTTAGGGCTTTAAACACTAACATGAACACATGAATTGAGCCCAGAAACTTACTGGCAACCTGTGCAGCTGTTTTAAACAGGGGTCATATGAGATCTGAAGGGAACCACAGACAACTGCACTCCCTCCATCTCTCCCGCAATAATTGTTATCAAGCACGGCTAGCAAAGTGGTCTGAAACCAGACTGGAATGGATCCAAATAACCAGCTTCCTCCAAGCATGCCTGAAGCTGGACTGCCACCAGCTTCTTGAGCACCTTGGCGGAATGGGATGGGGTGGGGGAATGGGGTGTTTGCAGGCTTTATCAATGGTGTTTCAAATATATGCAATTTCACTTACACACGCAGTGCCTCAGAACATAAATGGGGAGTTGCCTGTATACTGTACTAGTTTCCACTTTTAATAAGCAGTTATCAGCCATAAAGCATACAAAAACAAAATTGAAAGAACCAAAATGAATGGGAGGATCATGATTCTCCAAGAATTACAAGTGTATGGGTATTTATTGATGCTTCAACTCTGCAACTGGTTTATAAACGGCTAATACTGAAATTTGGTAGCAGAGAATTAATCATGACAAAGGGAACCAAAGACTTAGGCTAATCTTCTTCCAATCTCAGTTGCTTTAGAGTTGAATTGGTTTTCCCATTAATCTTGGCTGCAGATCAGAAATGACTGAGCCAGCCACACCAGACCAGCATAACTGTATTAGCATTCAGATGTGATGTCAGGTAAAACTTTTATTCAGCAACTATTTTCCTTGGAAAATACATTAACATAGACTACACTCCAATCCCAGCAAACAAATATTATTAAGATGAGATGTGCCTTTCCTTTTCCCCCAGTTTGTTTTACACCGTAAGTTGTTGTTGTCATAATAAGAGAAGGATGAGAATGCTGTGCAATGAGTTTGGATAGAAAGGCTAAATTACATTTTAATCCCATTGTATGTTCCTCTAAAAACATGCTCAAAGGAAGGCTAGCGTTCTTTGTTAAGAGTTTCTGTGTTTACTTTCATTGTTGGATATTTATTTCCACTGACATACTTTTTAGCAAAAATATCAAGGTACAAAGCGCTAACAGCAAGGCAGTATTTTACAGTGTGTTCTCATATTAACCAAGATACATTTTTTAGTCCGAAACTGAAAAAGTCAAACTTACACTCTTTGATAAATAAGTATGTAAGTGTTAGCATAACTGTGTGACCGCTGAACAAGTAGTCACCACACAGATCGTGTGATCCTGTGATGGACAGCCCACCTCCAGCAAGCATCTTCATTATCCTCCTCATGTGCGATTCCCAGTCTCCAAAGAGCTGGTGGAAGGAGAGGGGGGAGGAAACATCAGCACATTTCATCGATACCATTTAGAATAATCTTATAAAAGAAAGCTTAATTTACATTCAGAACCTGGCAATTAAAAAAAATAAATCTTATTAGGCATTAAAACTCTTTACCACTTAATGTATCATAGCATTCAATAAATAAATATCTTTTTTAAACACACACACACACGATCCTAAGAAGCCAACAACCATGTCTTTGTATTCATGAATTTTTCAGCAAGGGAAAGGCTTAAGAATTGAAATAATATCACTTTAATTATTTCAACTGCAAATGTATGAGTAATTAAAAATATAGGGTTGTATCGAACAAAGCCATCCCATTAGCGCTAGGACTTCTGTTTGCATAATTGGATTTCTTCTCCTTTGCTCATACCTTCCCTGCCCCTCCCTCCAAATCAGCTCCAGAGGGTTGAGGAACCCCCTGAACACATTTGGGAGGCATTCAGAGAGAAGAACTCCCACTGCACAGGTGCTAGTAGTATGACTTTGTTTGATACAACCCAAAGCCAAAAAAGCAAATAACTTGCCCAGAACCATCATTTGCTAGGTCTGAATAATTTGGCGAAAGAGAAATCAATTGGCATCTTCTTTAAAGAAGCTTGTTGGCTGATAAGAAATGGCTGACATGCATGTTATCCTCCGTGGCTACTATGTACATAAGGCAAGATCCAGCCAGTGTTGCACACTTTTAATTGCCAATGGTCTCACATGTTAAACACATGCCTATTAAACATTATAAATCTTGCCTGAAAAATCATGATATTGGAATTCATAAAACATCTGGGATTCACATTGGCTTCTGAGATCATTACTCTCACTGCTATTACATTTCTCTCTCTCTCTCTCTCAGATTTCCCTCTGCAACAAAAGGAGCTAAAGATAATTAACAGGCTGTAAGCAGCTCACCTCCAATGACCATGCCTGGGAGCATATCTTAACAGCAGATAAATGGCCATTCAGATACAATAAAATAAAACTAGCAAGGAATAGCGAAATGTTTATAAGTGCTCCCATTTAAAATCCTGTCCCTGCCCCCAACTGGGTGTGCATGGCTCACAATGTTAAATGATGCCCATTACTGTGTAGAAAAAGTGTTCCCGCTCAAGCCATGTAAATGGGTAACTTGTCTGTATTCTCTCAGTAGCTATAAAGGCATAATTGAGAATGGTTTGTAAACTGTGGCAGCACACTGTGGAATGAAAAGGAGAGATGTAGAGCTCCTCCTAGAAGAACAGCTGTTCAATCTTGTATCTAGCACTTGCCTTCTATAATATACAAGTGCTGGAACATAGACAATAAACCAATAGCAACCATGTGTGAGATGTTCCTTATAAGTACCATGGCTTCATATTATTTCAGCCAAATAGTAATTAAACTTGTCAAACTGCAATATCCAGTGGAGCCCTGCAGGCACTAACTCTGCATGAATCGGGTCAAAACAGATAAACAGGAAGCTCCAGCTGCCTCTCACAAGCTGCTCGCCATCATCTTGGATTCCTCTCACCCCAACATTAGTTCTACAAAATAAGAAGGTTCACCTTTGGATATACAAGTATATACAAGACTTGGTCTGCAGGATTTGTACATCGACACCAATGACTGTTTTGGCATCCAATAAAGACCTACAGGTCCACTGGAATAGTATGCTAACCCTTGACATGGTATATTTAGGAGCTCCTCTTTCTCTGTCCCAGGGGTGACAAACTTGCAGCCATCCAGCTGTTGTGGGAGCCTCATCTGCTCTAGCTAGCATAGCCAATTGTCAGGGATTATGGGATCTGTAGTTCAGCATCATCTGTAGGGCCACTTCTCCTTAGGTTTGTTTAGAAACAGGGAGCTTTGGGATGGCAAGGCAAACAACGGACAAGAGATTCACAAAAACCTTGCTGCAAATGGCATGCACAGTGCTTGAGAAAACATTATGCAGTGAAGAATATAACTCTTTCCCATTATTGTGTCTGCCCTCTATCATGCAATGAAGACTTATAGAGGATTGTTGAGGCTACTCCTCTTCCAGTGACAGAGTTATGGCATGTTTGTGGGATATTGTGCAGATAGCAACGCTTGCATGTATATAATCTGAAATGCCTTTGGTAGAACAAGGTTGATGCCAGAGATAGCAACAACAACCTCCTGTCATGCTTGCTTGTACAACCAACGGACCTCATCTGTCCTGCTTGGTGAAAATCACTAAGCATCCCCAGTGCTCTACTGCATGGTATAAAAGTAACAATTGCCACTGAAGATGGTAGTCACAAACAATCCCATAAATTATGAACCAGTCTTTCGCATTTTCATTTCAGGGATGGTGACTTGATGGTTGCAACTCAGCTCCTGACTACCCTGGCTTTTCAAGGATTTTTATTTATTTATTTAGCAGGATTTATATACTGTTTAATCATCAAAACCTAAGTGAGTTACAAAATTTACAAATAAAACTCAGGTATTCCAACACAAAGTTAGCCTAAAGGTTTTCAAAATAAAATCAAAGAGTTTTTAAAATAGGCATTGTAAATCAAACTACATGTTTAAACACACCTCAAATGCATGTCTCTAGGCAGGTTCCCTCAAAAACAAACAAAAAAACAACCCTTTCTAGTGGTTGCTGAAAACAGTACAGCAAAAGAACCTGCCTAATATCAATGGGCAAGGAGTTCCAAAGTGTACTGTAGGCGCCACTGCACTGAAAGTGATGATTCCCTGCAAGTTTGTCAGCAACATTATGTGGCACCTGTAGAAGTGGCGGTTCTATAGTTCCTGTCCAGGTTCTGGCCTAAGCACGAGGCAGAGATATAGTGAACCATAGTATGAGTTGCATCTCTATACCAGCAGAGGGAAATCAACACCACTGAGCTTCCTGGAAATTTCAGCAACCTGCTACATGTGTCTCCAGCAGAGCTGATGGTATAAGCACAGGTTAGTCCTAGTAATGTCTAAAAACCATGTTCAAAATGTGGCAATAGGGGACTCCCTACATTCTGGGAATGTATACAGCTCTATCCTTTGTAGTGAGGAAGTCACTAGTACTTGTGCTCAAGCTCTGACGGTGCTGATCACCTTTCAAGAGGGCTGGTGGGAATGTGGACTCCCTTCAGAATGACAATCATATGACTGCTCTCAAATTCAACACTGTTTGTTTCAGGTGATCCAAGGAAGGTGGTACTGAGCTAAATTCTGATAGAACCTGTTTATTATCAAACACTACGGTTAAGCAACAAGCAATACTGATCAGCCGTGAAAGAACTGTTGCCAATTCTCCTTGGCCAGCGATTCGCAGCTCACCCTGACTAAAGTTTTCCAAATCTTTGGGAAAATAAAGAGTAAGATTTTAGACAACAATAACACAAAGGGGGGGAAAGTTACCTTTGGAGAACAGTTGAAATGCATGCCAGGTACCGGGAGGGTAGTAACATACATCGTAATACACCGATACAGGTACAGTGTGCCAACTATACAAAAATATCGCCTGCTAATAATGGACCTGGAGAGAAAAGGGAGGAAATTATGCATCACTTGAAGTTCTTCAGGATTGTAAGTGTTTTCAAGGCAAAATGAGCATGGGGCTCTAGATGCAATTTATGTGCTCTAGGACAATAAATAATTCATATTCATTTTGGTAAATGAAACATTCATTTAAAAACAAATGGAAGCTATTATTCTCACTTAGTGGAATAGACCAGAAAAATCAAGATAGCAATGGCAGCAGGGTAATCGGTTCCAAACATTCCCTCCTAACCTGACCAAGAACAGAACTGTGGGCAGAATCATCCAGATATCAGCAGGCTATTGGACAAAGCACAGGCTGTAATCTGGGATCCAGCTGAGGGGCAGAACCCGTGGCATGTGGTGAATTTTTGCATAGGGGAACAGTCAGGGCCAGAGGCGCCAGCTTGCACGGCAGATGACGTCACGCACATGAGCATCGTGCTTCCCTCTGGCAGGATGCTGGAGCCCTCCTGCTTCCTTCCCAAAGCTGGGTGGGCTTTGGGAAGGCAGTGGGCAGGCTTTTGGACCCTCTGGAGCATCATGCCTCCCTCCTTAAGCCGGGTAGAAGCTTCCCAGGCTTTGGGAAGGAGATGCCAGGGGAACATTTAGGGGACTAGCCTAGTCTCCCTAGTCCAATGACCGCACGCCACTGGGCAGAACCCGCCTCTAAAGGGGCAAAATACAGCCTAGACTCCAAGTGGGTCCTTAAATAAACGCCTTTATTCTCCCCATGCCCCCATAAATGAGAGGTTGTCATTTATTCCTTTGGGAAAAGGTGAAGTGCACTGGAGGTCCAGTATGACAATGCTCCTGCAGAGGAAGGCAACAGGCTTCCATGAACATTGTGCAGAAGCTTCTGTTTCTCCAGTACATCGGTGTGAACCATTTGTTTCTATGGAAGAAAGAGGCTTAGAGGAGAAAATCGGGAAGACCTGAAGGTAGGCTCCCCTATTGCCTCAACAACCCCCCTCCCTGTTTACACAGACTTAACTTTCTTTCACATAAGCCAATAAAAGGCATTCAAGAGAGAAAAATAAATGTATCTTGCCATGTTTATGGGCACCTCACTTGTTCGGTACAGGCCAATTTTAAGTGCAGCCAGCCAATTAGTATAGCTTCATTCTAGGTCTTTTTGATATCTACACTAAGCTAGCTTGGAACATAAATAAATATCACAATACATTAAATGCCATTTATTGCTATTCCTTTTACATTTGGAACTAGTAAATACTTTATATATTAGAAAAAAATATTATGAAACACATTTTGAAGCTTTCTTTATAGCCTTATAAGGCAGAATTTCAGCTGTACTGGTAGCAAAGTGTGGTTATAAACAATTTTCATAACATTCCAAACTATCAGTGCATTATAGCCTGTGGAGAATTTTTATTCTTATCTCTTAGGAAGTGAAGATAATGACCTGAGAACAGAGGATATACTCACGGAATGAATATGTGTGTGTGCATGCGCAAGCACAAGCACACACACACACACACTATATTGTGTATAATGTACACACACACAAATGTGTTTGAGGTGTAATGTAGATAACAATGAACAGGATCCAAAACGGCATGGGACTTTAGGCTATTTTCTCTTAAGTGCAAACATACACTTCATAACCGAGGCCATATCTCATACTGCTTTTGCAAATCCCCCTCCTGCCTCCCCAGTTTTAAAAATGCCATGCCATGAGGCAGGAGCTGCTATGCAAAAAGCTTTATTAGATGCACGGAGCTATCTTTGTGCACATGCTATTTTTGAAATACAATGGAATCTTTCCCTCATAAAACATCAACACATTTTCAAAACTAAACAAATGAACAAAAAATGAACTTGAGGCTTGAGATTGCATTTGTGCAGGCAGCATTCTAGGGGGAAACCATGCTGCAATACTACTATAAAGGGCCCTCTTCCTCACGCCCTTTAAAAGCAAGAGTGGCCGTCTTTTTCAGCCAGGTGGCAGCACTGAGAGTTGGCCAACCCTCTGACAGCGGCATGCCAGCAACAGGAATTGCTGAAGGGGCCAATGCACATTCACACATGCACATGTGCTGACATACATACACCCCACACATTTTGATGCCCCCCCAACCCCCGGAAGGAAAACTCCCTCCCTCGTTACCTAAACCTCTACAGCTTTCTTTTTAATGGTGCTATGCCAGAGAGAGAAGAGGTACTTTTCCAAAGTAGGGTGAGGTGCCCAATTTTGGCAGAGGAAAGGCTGACTGCTCTAGGCTCTTTCATGGGCCTGATCTGGCCCATGGGTCATAGATGTGCCATGTCTGCTTTAAGGGCTTCAGCAGAGCAGGCACCAGTGATCTTAGCTGCATGAGCAGCCCAAGTGCTTTCCCCTCCTATGGACATGGCTCTGAAGGCACATCATGCAGCAGCCTGGCTGAAGCTAAGCAGGTCCATGTATTAACTGGATGGGACACTGCCAGGGACTCCCATGCAAACTGCCTTGAATTGCATGGAAGGAAGGAAAACAAAATGAATAAAATGGTCCTTTGATACTAGAGGAGAGCAACATAACTAGTATGGAGAAGCATCGTCATCCTGCAAGGAGAAGGAGGGGTAAATTACCAATGCAAGTGAGCAGTATTGGGGCTGGTGGGAAACTTCTTTCTAAATAATTACTTACAAGCCAAGTTAACATCTTAGTATAAAAAAATCCTTATATATCTGTTTAACATACAGATTTCATAAAATTACTGTTCTTGCCTCCGACTGTATTTAACACATCTCTCCACCACATTTTACAAGCCAGGCTCATTATTAAAGAAGCAGAGTCAGCTTGAAAAAAATAAATCAGCAAAGTATAAAAAATAAAATAATATTAGTATCTGGGACTGAATTAAATATTATCAAAATATGCATGTACTTACTTGTATTTTAAGAGCAGCCACTGAACTGCCCAGAGTCCTACAAGGATCAAACCATTAATTTCACAGATAGAAAAGGCCCATTGAACTCGACTAAAGTGATCAAAAAAAGCGTCTGGTAGGGGCGGATCCACCTCCTTGGGAGGCACTCGTTCATGGACAACTGAGATTGTCACTGTTGTAAGGACTAGACAGCAAAGTGCATAAAAGAAAGCCAAAAATGTCTTCCCCCATTCCATGGGATACTGAGAACGTTCCGGTTCTGGCATGTGGATTTGTATCATATCCTTCCTGTACCCATTTGGCATCCCGTTTGGTTTGCTTTTGCTGCTGAAACCATTTTCATTGGTGAGGGCCTCCGTACTGATGACCAAGTGGCCGTTGGCATGCCCGTTCTTGTGTACCTCAATATGGTGCTCCATTTTCAAAGTCTCTATCATGTCCAGCAGACGTTGGCCATTGTCCGAAGACACACGCGACAAAGGGGGCTTCTTGAAATCCTCCTTCGTTAGGTTCACCAAGTCCTGCCCAGTGAAATTCTTCAATGGCTCACAGTATTCTGGTACAACATCTGACAACCAATCGACCACTTCCTCGCATGACCAGAGTGCGATTTCTTTCATTTCGTCCAAACACTTGCCTGCAGTCTTAAAAATCACGTTTAAACAGGACAGTTGTCACTATTTTTGCTTAACAGGAAGTCCTTCTTTGACTTGCTCATCCTGTCTAAAGATCAGTAGAAACCAGTTTTGCAGGTCGATGCACAACAGCTTCAAATCGCCTGGTACAGATATTGACATGTGGCATGTAAAAGGAATGTTCACTTCATTTTGCATTTGCCTTTCTACAGTTAAGGGAGAGAAAGAGAGAAATGCAGTTAGAACATTCATTTTTCTTACTGCTGCAAAAGACATGATATTCAGGCAATATCTGCTTTAATAGAATCAGATGCATTTCATTTATTTATTATTTGTACTCACAACCTGCCCTTCACCAATGGTCCCAGGGAAGATTACAAAAAAAAAACCCCACAAAATTAAAGCAGCTAAAAAACTAAAATAAGCTACAATTGTAGTAAACCCATAAAATAAAAACTGTGAAATTAACAAACTGGCACAGAACATCAATTCAGCAGGAGGGATAACCCCATCTCAACCAAAGGCCTGGATAAAAACATATAATGATTTGGGGGAGGGGGGACTCATTCCACAATTTATAGCTTCTCTTTACTTTGTGCCAGCAAATAATCATGGCCAATGTGTGTCTGTGTCATTCCAAACACTCTGAATCACGGATGGCATGAACTTGCTGGCGGAAGTAGAGAATAAGGTAACTGGAGCCCCATCCCTTCAATGATCAGAAGCCAACCAGACAGGCAGCTGAATCTTACTTTGACACTGGCAACAGGACAGCATCTCATTCTGCACCAGAGAGCAGCAAGATAGGGGACAGAGGATGGTCATATAGCAAAGCATGGGGGTGGGGGGGGTATGGTTGTGGCTGTGATTGTATGTGACAAAAGGCAAAAATATACTGCATGACCCAAGACGAAGCAATTTGCCCTAAGTGGGAAGGGTTTATTCACTGGTGCAATCTCAATGGACCACAGGAGGTTAAGGGATTCCACCTGCGATGCCTTAAAATTAAAAGAGATGATGAAATTGTCATTCGGATCAATTTCTTCTGGCAAGTGTCGGGGTGTGGGTGGGAAAATCAATCTATTGAGAAGATGGTTTGAGATCACATAAGTACCAACAGGCAACCTGTTGGGAGAATCAGAAAACAATACCTTGGGCCGCAATTCTTAAGCATAGCTTTCCTTTAAAGTGAATTACACAGAGAATTGGGACGCGAGTGGCGCTGTGGTCTAAACCACAGAGTCTAGGCCTTTCTGATCAGAAGGTCGGCGGTTCGAAACCCCACGACGGGGGTTTCAAAAGCACATCAAAGTGCAAGTAGATAAATAGGTACCGATCCGGCGAGAAGGTAAACGGCGTTTCCGTGCACTGCTCTGGTTCGCCAGAAGCAGCTTAGTCATGCTGGCCACATGAACCGGAAGCTGTACACTGACTCCCTCGGCCAATAAAGCAAGATGAGCGCCCCAACCCCAGAGTCGTCCGCGACTGGACCTAACAGTCAGGGGTCACTTTACCTTTACACAGAGAATTAAAGGGCACTTTCAAGTAGAGGTTCTTAGGCTGAAAGTGCAAGTCACATTCACCCTTCTGAAAGTCAATGAAGAGAACAAAACACATGATGAAAACGGGTCCCTAGCCCTACTGTTGGAGGTGGGGGGGGGGGAGAAGCCTGGAAGGATGTGGGCAGTGCATGAAGAACCTCAGACAGCCTACTGTTGCTGAAAAGGGAATTTCACATCCACCCACAGAGACATATATAACCCTTCTCTCTCCCTGACCCCCATGCATAAGGCAATATAGTCAGCTTTGTGAATAGTGAGACTTTTAAATATCAAGTCCCCCAAAGCAGCCCCCACAACCACATTGCAAGGGAAAAAAGACTCCAGAAACTCTGGTTTTCAAAAGGTTCTTTGGCAGAATAAGAAGCTAATTCTTGGGGTTGGAACACCCCTGTGTGTGCAAATCCAAGTCTTTTATAGTGGGGTCGTTTGGACTACGGCAGTTCAAAATGAAATCTGTTTCTTTGGGATTTGTTTAGCCTTATGCTGGTTACTTCTCCCTTTAGAACAGCATGCTAGCTGAAAAATAACATCTGGGTAAATAATCTTGGATAAAGCAAAGTATTAACTTCAGTGGAGATACCAAGAGACAAGGGATTGCACAAGGCTAACTTGCTGGCAGAGGAACAGTTTAATATTTTTCAAGAATTCAGCAGAGATGTCTGCCTATTAATTGTCTGTGCAATCCAAGTAGGTGAAAGGTTGGGTTGAACAGTAAGACATAAGATGGGAGCATGTGTTTGGAAACTGAGTGGGTGAAAAAAATGGAGTGGGTGAAAAAAATGGGTGCAGCAATACTGAACCTGTTCCCATATAAACACAGTACAGTGGTACCTCGGGTTACAGATGCTTCAGGTTACAGACGCTTCAGGTTACAGACTCCGCTAACCCAAAATTGGTACCTCGGGTTAAGAACTTTGCTTCAGGATGAGAACAAAAATCGCACGGCTGCGCGGTGGCAGCGGAAGGCCCCATTAGCTAAAGTGGTACTCCAGATTAAGAACCGTTTCAGGTTAAGAACGGACCTCCGGAACGAATTAAGTTCTTAACCCGAGGTACCACTGTAGTAGGGACTCAGGACACACTGTTACTCAATCTATTGTTTGGAAGTTCATGTAGATTCAAGTAAATAAAGTAAACATGTTTAACCAAGGAAATATATAAAGCAGAAGGCAGAGGTTTTCATTGAAAAATTGTGCTTGCTAATGTACGGTCTGATTAACTAGCCAAAATGGCCCAATGTAATTTGGTATCATGATTCTGATGACAGATTCTGCTTTAAGAAGTAAAAAATCATATAGTTACATACTGTCATCCATATGTACAGCAATGGTAGCCAATATGGTGCCCTCCAGTGGTTTTGGACTCCAACCCCCATCAGCCTCAGCCAGCATGGCTTGTAATTAGGGATGATGAGCAGTTATAGTCCAACAACATCTGGAGGGCAGTGTGTTGGCTTTACAAAGAATTAGAGGACAACTCCCTGGCCCAAGGGGCTTACAATCTAGATAATGAAAAAAATAAAAAGCAGTGGAAGAGGAGGGGAATAGAGGCAAGAATAAAGAATGATCAGTGACTAAACCGATTCATTCCTTTGATGTAATACATATGTAGGAATTATTCATTTCATTATTGCTGTTTTGTTTTGTCACTTGCAGGTTTTCCAATTAACTATTTATTAGGGTTCTGGGTCCTTTTATATCAGTAAGGAGCTAAAATAATTTCTTCATTGCATTCTGTTAAACTTAAAGTATTGCTCCTGTTGCAAGTTCTCCTCTCCAGAATTTGCATCATTGGTAGCAGTGTAGCACTTGACTGCATAGGCAATAAACAGGCTGTAGTTTACAAAAATGTTTCATTTCTTATTCTTCCTGCATTTCTGGTTCTACCGCATCTCATGCAATTGGTGAGCACTAGTTCTAAAAATGGTTAGCTTATTTTCTTATGCTTGTTTCCATGCTTGTGCATTTCAGACATTTTTGTATATATAGCCCAACAGAGTTGCCAGACTGATGTATCCAAAATTGTAGTGGCCTATGTCACATCTCTTCCCCAAAATTTATTTCAATGAAGCATTTTTAGGCATAATCTGTCCATGGTAAAATAAAAAGAATCTGACATGCATAAACCATGCTGTAATCTATCTGCTAGCTCAAACAAAACTCAAATTAATTCTGCAATAGGCTTTACCAATGTTCAAACTATCCCAGGCTGAGCCAATAATGTGCTGACAGCCTGTTATTTCTGTGAGTAAGGCTACAGAGCATTAAAAAGACAAAAGGGCAAAAGTGTATGCTTACTGTGAACACAATCAGTGGAAACTTTATTCAGTTAAAAAAAAATGTGCCAGAGTGTTATTTCTTTGTAGACTACTTTCAAAACAACTGGTCTGTAAATGGTCACTTTCAGGAACCCTAGGAGACAAAGACAGGTGCTGGAAGAGACACAAAGTTTGCTCTGATCTTTCCCTATAACGGTTTCTATTAATTGCTTCATAAATGACAGCCAAACTAATGTGTGACTTTTCAAAGAGAACTAATACACTACAATGTTATCTAGTGATTAAGAGAATCGGTTGTGAAATTGGTTATCAAAAGTGGGGTAGAGAGACTAGATTTTGTGGTGTACTGTACACTAGAATATGATGCAAGCAGCTGTTTTTATGTTTTCCATTCAGTTAAAAGCTTCTTTCTGTCAGCAACCTGGATCCAGTTGTTTCCAAGATACTCATAGAAAAGCTAAATTTGGGGAATTAGCAATATTACTGCTGGGAACTTTACTGGCGACAATTGTGCACACACAGAACACCATTGGCTTTGAACGTGGTGCTTACTACAAGAGATATGGCAAAGACCAATAAGAACCTGATATTAGTGTGCCTGCTCCACGGAGCCAACAATAACCACACTGTTGTTGCAAGTGTGATATTTATTCATATAAAAAAGGTTTAAAGGTAGTAACGTGACAAAACAAAATGATTCCGAAGCAAAAAAATGTCGCTGCAACTTGAAATGCCACTATAAAACTAATGCATACACAGGCTACCCCAAAGTGTTGCCTGGTCTATATGTTTAGTTACTGTAGCAGAGATAAGACTAGAGATGGAGAGTCACCCAATTTTGAATTGTGAGGTGGAATCCTAAGAGCTTTGCTACAGGAAAATGAAAGAACAGGGAAGAGAAGGAGCGATGTTAGATGCAATTATAGAATTTTTTCCTGTCTCATGAGAGCCACAGAACTCTGGAAAAACAGGAAGGCATCCAAAGGTTGAGATGCCATATTTATGCATCAGGTGGTAGGGAAACAGCTTAATTTCTTCACCATAACTTAAAGGTTCACTTTCACAGACAGGCAAAAGGAATCTTATTGAAGTAGGCCACAGAATGGCAGCTATCCATCAGAATTCATTTGCAAACCCTTTGGTAG